TTCTTCTATTTTATTGGACTTATTGTAATATTTACGCATCGTAATATGAGAGACATTTATTCTTGATGACTTGCATCAGGAGTACAATCAAGTATGATTGAATAATATTTTACTTCTTTAACTTTTTTAATAATATTGCTTCTTACTTCATTTCCTAACAAACTTATCAATTCATTTTGTATGTTATGTCTAAGATAATGGTTATGAATTCTATCTTGTTGAATACGACGAACGTGTTTTTATATTATCGGATCAAATTCCCCAATCATTTCAATTAAACTTAAAAAATTGTCATTATTTCTTGATATATCTTTTCATTTTTTTTCTGAAAAGCTAAATTAGTTTTACCAAAATTCTTTACAACGACAATAATTCTTACTAGTACATTTTGCCAATATTCTTTCTCTCTATTAATTTGTTCTTGGATACTTTTATCAATTATTTTATTTAGTTGCAATCTTGTTTCTAATTCAATCTAAGTATTCATATTAGTTATATGCTCATTAGTTATTTCATGATTTTTAAGCTTAACACCAATATTTCTCCAATATTTTGTTCCTTCATTAGCTAGTTTACTTGTAGAATAATTCATATTGAATAACTTAAACAAAAACAAAATATTTTATCCAAATCTTTTGAATATACTTGCCATCTTCTATCAAGTGTTTCCCCATTTGTTAATTTGTGAATATAATGTGTAGTGGAAAAATGTCTAGAGTGTTCATCCCAAGAAAAATCTAAATTATTATATCTAATTGGACCATTTTCTACTAATAAATCTCTTAATTTCGTATCAATATTTTTTCATTAACTTTGATCATAAATATTTATATGAATATAATCACTTGTTTCATTAAGATTTTGATTGTCTTCTATTTCATTATCTTTTATTTCACTATTTTCTTTTTCAATATTTTCTATTTCATTATCCTCTATTTCATTATCTTTTATTTCAATATTTTCTACTTCAATATTTTTTATTTCATTATTTTTTATTTCAATATTTTCTATTTCAATATTTTTTATTTTATTTTCTTTTATTTCATTATCAATTTGTTCATTTTCAAAATTTTCATCTAAATTTTTTGTTACATTATTTTTGTTACTAGTGACAAATTTATCAAACGATCCTTTTTGAGATTCTATTAGTTGATCTATTTTTTTTTTTAATTTTTTGTATCCATTTGGTTGCCTTCTAAGTGCCATATTATTAATATATTATAACTATATAACAACCAAACAAAATGTTTGGATTGAATTATGGGCTTAAATTGGTTGATTGAGCTTATATTTTTATAAAGCTTTTTTTACATGGGTTATTTACAGTGTTTAAAAATTAGGGCCTTCCTTTGAAATGGGGCCTAAAGCCCAGACTTTTTTAAACCTTCTGTTGGGCCGGCCCTGTTCGGAGTGGTTAGATGATCCTGGTGATGTACTTTTAGATGAACTTAATGATGATGGGCAACTAAAAAAACCAAATACTTTCCTAGCAACGTGGGCAAATCGTTTTTTCGATGACGATGAAGAAGTAGGCCTAAGTCAAGGTATTGTGCCAGCACAAAAATCAAGATCCAAAATAAGTAGAGAATGATCAAATAAAGTAATGCATGATGAAGAGTTTAACAGACTAATGACAGGTCCACCAAGATGTAAACAACTTATCACTGTCACTAGTAGTACTGAGAATGATCATAATAGTGATAGTAGCAATGATAATGATGGTAAAGATGATGATGAAGATAGTGGTGGTGCTGATAGTGGAGATGGTGATAGCAGAGGTGGTGATAGCCTTAGACATGGAGGAGATAGAGGTGGTGGTGATAGAGGTACGGGGAGCCACAGTCCACATGTAATTATATTTACTGTAGAGGAAGGATTTACATATGCTACACAAGATGAAGATCATGGCTCTCGACGAATGCTTCAATATGAACGATGCTCAAAATCAAGTCGAGATCATTAATGTGAGCATACTCAAAATCTGATCACTCCACATGGTATGGGTGCTATTAGGCATGGAGCTGATATGATTAATGATGATTTTTCTACTATGAGTATAAATGGAAGTAGAAGTGAACACCATAATTATGGTTCGTCGTCTTCATATGATTATGGTTCTGGACATGACATTCCCTCATATGATTATGGATCGGGGTATGCCACACGAGGATACGAATATGAATTATCAACATATGGTTATAGATCTATGTATGACTCCCAAACATCCTCCTCATATAGACAAGATGAAGGTTGGCCAGGGACTGATGCATTCGTTTCCCAACAGATTGAATGTAGTATTGCAGACTATCAGAAGTTTGTGAGAGAGTATAATTTATATTATCGTAATAATATGAGTTGGAATAACTATTGTCATCATATTTATGTCACATATGGAGTTTCTCTAAGAAACTACTCAGAACCTATACTGATGTATGAGTCTGCTCGACACTCCATAAGGGGATGGATGTAACTCTGTAAGTATGTATTCATTAGCATTTCATGTGTATTATGAGACCCTAACATTATGCAAAAATGTGTTTATTTGATAAAAATTAAGTGTTTGAAACTAATTTAAGTGATTTTCGCCTCATGTTAAGCTTTTTTTCCCCTCTAATTTAAATTTATTCTTGTATAAATAGATGTTAATCCAATAAATATGTTGAATTAATCAATTATTTAACTTATCTTTATAAATAAATGGATGCATTTATTTTTTCACGTGTTTTCATATTTTTTCTGCATTTTCATCACGTTTTCATCGTGTTTCCGAAACGTTTCTATTTTTGAGTTTCGAAACGATATTTTGATCATTGTCTATTATAATCTTTATGAATAAATGTCGTTTATAATTTTGAGACAATAATTTAATTATTTTGTGAACAATGTTGTTCATTTTTCGAGTTATAAATCTTATGATTTTACTTGGGTTTAATAATGATGTTGGAGGTAATGTTTAGTTTATTCCTTTGATATTCATTAGATATGTGGATTGAATTATTTTATTATTTGTCTTCTACTGTGCATTGTATTTATTATACATAGGGTTGGTTGGTTAAGAACTTGATAACCGGTTTGTCACCCATCCTATGTGATCGGGGGCAGAGGTGTAACAAATCCACCAAATGTTTTAAAAAAATTTATTTACTAGCATAACATCTGCAACATCTAAATCCTTCATGTCAAACTTACTAGAGAATATCTTATTGGTAGCTTTAATGATATCTACCTCGAATAAGCATATAATCCACATATAGGCAAACAATGACATATCTATTATTTGTGTTTTCGATATAGACACATTTATTGCATTCATTAATTATGAATCTATTTGACATAATAATTTTGTCAAATTTTTCATGTCATTGGTTTGGTGCTTGCTAATCCATAAAATAATTTAACAAACATGCACACTCTTTTTTTTTTGTCCTAGAGTAATCATCTATTTGAGTTGCTCCATATAATTTTTTTCACTTAAGTTGCCATTTAAAAAAATTATTTTCAAATCTCTATTTGGTGTATCTCAAGATTATGTAACTCTGCAATAGCCATTAGCATACAAATATATGTCATTTTTATAATCAAAGAAAAGTGACCATGTGTCATTTTTTTAGATGATATATTGTGTCAAAAATTTAACAGTTCGTCTATGTGAGGACCAAAATGACACGAATTAAATATTTTAGGGGCCAAATTGATAAAATTGATACATTGATGACTAAATTGACAAAAAATGCATATTTTATGGCCCAAAAGTATATTAACCCATTAAATTAACTAACAATAGTGGCTGAACACCTGAAAAAACCATTATACCCTCAAACCTTGTACATTATTTCCCATACATTTTCTTGAAATACCAATTTTGTCCCTAAAAAAAAATGGAAATGCCAAAACTAAAAAAATAAGAAACCCTTTGCCTTATTGTCATCATAAGGAGGGAGATTTCTACTGGAAGAAGGAAGGGAGATGATGGAAGGGTGTGAGGGTAAGAGAGGAGTATGAATAATTGGTACACGTGAAAAATAGGTTTAAGGGTAATTATCTTTTTTTCGACAAAATTAGAGATCACGTGAATTTGTCATGTCTAACTTTTGTTAATTTTTATTGTATAAATTAGAGTTAAATTATAAAATTCAAACTTAAAAGGGCTATTTTTTAAATTAAAACCTGAAGCAATGAATTACAAACTATCCAAAGTTGAAGAGGCATTTTGTAATTAACCTTAAAATGTATTTTATATTTTACTATTATTTAACGATTTAAAAATTATAATTTTTAATAATTATCTGTAGTAGTAAGAAAAATAAGAATTTTTATTTTGAAAAAGATGTAATATGGTTTTACTTATCATGATATATCCATAAAATGAGCATAACCAATTAAAAGAATCAGGAATTTTTTTTTTTTTTTTGCTCTTTGTTTTTAAAATTATAATGTATCTAACTCATTTTTTTTTATACTCTTTTGATAGATCCCATGTCTTCAAAATCAGATAGACTTTTGTTGATATTTTATATTGTATGTGAATTCAAAAAAAGAGGGTATAGATTAAAATTAAAAGTCGTATATCTTATTTTATATTTAGAAGTATTTACATAATATCCACATATTTTATTAATTACCCAAAACGTACATGTTTAATGCATATTGGATATATGTGTTTAAATACCCGACAAATATTTGTCTCGGGTCGACGAAGTATCCGTCTTTCCTAACATACAGATAACCAATGTTGTCGTAATCATTGATTTTTAGTTATAGTTTTTTCTAGTTACATTTTTGGATCTGTCTGTGCAGCAATTGGTACATTTTTGGAACTGAACATTCCTTTTTTTTTTTTTTTAAAGTAATTAATATTTTTGTTACAAAGTGCCTGCATAAACAACTACAGTTTGATCCGAAATACGAGGCTAGACATATGAGTTTAAGCTTGAACGCATCCTGCGAATTTAATTAGTTCAAACCTTAGCTCAAGCAAAGAACACGAAAAACCAACCACAATGGCCACAGCCACCTCCGCTTCCGTAAACAGCTCCTTCCCTCTCACCACCCCAAGACTACACCCTGTGCAACGAACAACTTTCATTTGCCCCATTCCCAGCTCCTCTGTACCTCCTCGGCTATCCTCCTGTCGGCTTCGACTTCGAATTCGTCGTTCCACTCTCACTCACGTCACAGCATCCGTCAAGGTGCAGTCGCTACTATGGTTCACATATATGCCCACCACATGTTTGATAATATGCTTCAAGAAATCTTCCCTATTTGAATTGTTTTTGTTGCTCTGCTCTAGGAAAACGTTGGTCGACTTACAAAGAGTTGGAGTGATTTCACAAGCCTGAATTACTGGGTTGTGAAAGATTATTACCGACTTGTAAACTCGGTTAATGCTTTTGAGCCACAGATTCAGATACTCCCTGATGAACAGGTTTCTGGGTTTTATTTGGTTTTATGAATTGTTATTAGGTAATTATTGTTTTGGGGTCATTTGCATTATGGTTTCTTTTGATTTTCGGTATTTGTAGCTGACTACAAAAACCGAGGAGTTTAGACATCGGCTTAGAGGAGGAGAGACTCTCGCAGATATTCAAGCTGGTGTAGAAGCAATCTGCTCTTTCATGTTTATAATTAAAGTAAAATGCTGGAAACGAGACATGTGAAATTTGAAGTTTTCTTTTTAACTGTTATGTCCAGAGGCATTTGCTGTTGTTCGTGAAGCTGCAAAAAGAAAGCTCGGAATGCGTCATTTTGATGTGCAGGTCTCTCTCCCCCACCCTCTCTCTCAATAGATATATGATTGGGTTTGTTTTAAACATTTGAAAAGGTGAATTATTGTTTTGGTTATCTTGCAAACTTGAATGCTAGATTATTGGTGGAGCAGTGCTTCATGATGGGTCTATTGCTGAGATGAAAACTGGGGAGGGAAAAACCTTGGTTTCCACATTAGCAGCCTATCTAAATGCCCTGACTGGTGAAGGTGTTCATGGTATGTTTATAGAGTCATTGCTTCGATGGAGGCATTTTGTATATGTAAATTTGATGCTCTCTTGAATAGCCATTGTGTGTACAACTGTACTGGTAGTATATTTACCACCTATTCAAGATGTTTGAGTCATGTTTACCTCATGCGCACTGACTTTATGGGGGAGTGTGCTAATTCTTATGTAGTGTTTGTTGATTTTCCTTAAAACATTTTCCTTCTGACAGTGGTAACGGTCAATGACTATCTAGCTCAACGAGATGCTGAGTGGATGGGTCGTGTTCATCGCTTTCTAGGCCTTTCTGTTGGTCTTATCCAAGTAATTTTCTTTTTCTTTTTATTTTAAGTATTCTGAAATTATGATCTCTCTCTCCCTCTCTCTCTCTCTCTCTCTCTCCCCCCCCTCTCTCTTCTATTGGTGGCTTAACAGGAATTGCACTTGAGTTCTGATAATCTCGTTTTGAGGAATTGTGAATCTTAGCCTCACTCGTAAAATCAACTTACGTCGCAATTTATGACTAACAATCACATACATTATATATATATACACACACTACAATTGATCATGGATTTTATATTTTACTGTTTCTATATAGAGAGGGATGACAGCCGAGGAGAGGAGGTTCAACTATAGATGTGACATAACATACACCAATAATTCAGTAAGTTCTTTGAGTTCACGTTGTACTGTTTTACCTTGCTGCTATTTACTTTCTTTTCTGGTCTCTGCTCCTGAAATACATCAGTCTATTGATAGTTTGGTTTTTAACATTTTCCTATGTGCTTGGTGGAATTGGCCAATTCTCTCTCTCTCTCTTCGTTTTTTTTGGTTGGTTACTCAAATCTCCCCAGGAACTTGGTTTTGATTATTTACGAGATAATCTTGCTGGAAGTAGGGAACAACTTGTAATGAGATGGTAAATTTCACACACCTTATGGTCCATTATGTTTGTTTCTAGTTGTTCCATGGGACTATAGCTGTTTATTTTTGTGAGACCAGGCCGAAACCTTTCCATTTCGGAATAGTGGATGAAGTCGATTCAGTCCTTATTGATGAAGGAAGAAATCCTTTGTTGATAAGTGGTGAGGTAAGTTTTCTTGTTTTTAGTAGTCTGAATTCCTTCTATTTAGAGTTACGCAACTACTTGTACAGAGGCCATCAAAAAGTGTAGTAATACAATGATCTGGCTAACAACAAAACGGTGGGTGGGTTTGAACTTAGAACAACCTTTTTGTGCAAATAATACATCCATGTTAGTTGGGCAAAACTGGGACTATTTGATAATGGCATTGACATAATTTTAACCGTATAGGAATAGCTTACTCAGAGGTCTTTTTTACTTTTACTTCTGCATCTCAGGCAAGTAAGGATGCTGCCCGATATCCAGTTGCTGCCAAAGTAGCTGAACTGCTCATACGGAACATTGTGAGTCCAGTTTCTTACCTTTATGATCTGCTGAACCATGTATTTCTGGTTTTCCAGTTCCTTTGTAATTTTTGCAATTGAAAGATTAAAACACTTTGAAGTTTTCACTCCTGTTAATAGCATTACAATGTGGAGCTCAAGGATAATTCAGTAGAACTGACTGAGGAAGGAATTGCATTGGCGGAGATGGCTCTAGAAACAAATGACCTATGGGATGAGAATGATCCTTGGGCTAGGTGAGTATTCCCTTACTTTTTTTTTTTTGTCACTCAATAGCAATTCTTTCATTCATTTATCTAATTTGTGGCTACAAAAGGGGGCAAAGCCCAAAAAACTGAATCAGAACAGGGCAGGGTCTAGCTACCCCCAGGACATGTGCTTGTATTAGTTGAAGCAGCACATCAGAGGATGTCTGAAGCACTGTAAATCCAAGAGGCAAAGAGAGACTATGTGATCTAGGACCAGACGGATAAAAAGGAGAGAATTTGTGAGACAGGAAAGAGAATACAAGAAAGGTAGATAGAGAGGAAGATGAGAGAAAAGATAAGACAGAGAGGGAGAAAGAGAGGAATACAGGAGAGAAAGAGAAACAGAGGGAAAGAAATAGACATGAGAGGAATTTTCCAATGTCTTTAATAGTAAAATCCAAAGCTGAACCCTCCTTATAAAAGACTATATGTGAAGGCTGTTCAAAAAACCCAAATTAATACTTACATTAATAACTCCTAAATTTAAGCCTAAAACCAGTCTTCAATCTATGCTTCATCCAATCCCTTTGTATTCACCAACCATCACTCTGTGTTGCAAGCCCTTCAGAACAAAAATTTTCTTGTCTATATGTGTTGCAGATTTCAGAGTACAGTCACCCTGCGTGATTTAGCAACTTTGTCAGGCCATTAGGTAGTTGGGGTAGTAGGGTTGTAAACTCCCTACCCCTGTTACCCCCATATGAATTGCTGTCTCTCAATCAGATCCAAGTACTCATGTAAATCCTTTATCTGCTGCAAGCTTCAGGCCTTGGCAGGCAGCTCAGACTTCCACTGTCATTGTAGCAATGCCCTATATGCATTGAAAAAACAAGTAGCCATCGTCCATCCTCACCCTGGGTACTTCTTCCAGGGACCGTAAGCCCAGGGCTTCCTTAGTGCAACCATGTACATTTTTATATGCCCTGCCAGATTTGTTTTTTTTTTTTTTTTTGGGGGGGGGGGTTAATTACCATGTATTGCTTCACCCTGGGCTTTTTACTGAGTGCTCCTTGTGTTGCTTTTGTGCATTTCAAAAGATTGGGATATGATGAGGATTTGAAATTAGGAGGAAGCATGAAGCTGTCCTCAAACGATGTTTTGTTTCTCCGTGTCCAGATTTCCAACAAATCACTGCAAAGATGCTTTGCCATGGCAGGTCGTTACCGTGATTATCAGGATGTACTGCCAGATTCTTATCTAATCACGTCTCAGATCTTGAGTGAAAACACATGGTGCATCTGATCTTGTGAGAGAAAAATTTCCCAAGTTCTTGCATTGAGGCAGTATCTGATGCTGTGAGTGGTAGATTCAATAGCTGCACCACACAGCTGACATTTGGGATCAAGGCTTATTTTCCTGAACTTTGACCTTTTTTTTTGCATTTTAAATAATGTTTTTTTTTCCTGATAGGAAATTGTAAACTTTATTAATAACCAAACTATAAGAGAAGATACAGACCCTATTAAAGGTGGATATGTCATCCAACCAAATGATAGGAGAAAGCAAACCCCATACAATCATAACAATGGTGTGTGCAATTCAAGCAATTTGCATTCTGTTCTGTTCTTTATATATTTATAAATGAAAATCATTTGGCATATATTGCTTGCTGCTTTAAAGTGCAATTTTATGTTCTATTCTTCATATTTTCAAACTGGTATTAAGCATTAAAATATTGCAGATTTGTTATGAATGCTTTGAAAGCGAAGGAGTTCTATAAGCGGGATGTCCAATACATTGTCAGAAATGGGAAGGCTCTCATAATAAATGAGGTATCATCGGCAACATTATAGGATGTTATTTTCGTGATTAGCTTCTATATTGTCATCACTTCCCTACTTCTTTTTAAGTATGAGGTAATCTTCATGTGGTTATACTTTTAGTTGTGTGTTTCCACTGATTGTTTTTTCATTCATAACGAAGTATCATGTGCTCTTCCACATAGAGCAGGACTGTTTGTAGTAGAATGCTCAGGCTTAAATGCTTATTTTTTCATTTGGAAAAGGTTTAATTTTATTTAGAAGGCACACAGCGAAGAGTTGTTTAGCACCAGTTCACCGGTAGAGAAGAATGGGTTATGAAAGAAACACGAATAGGTCAACATAATGTCTCCATTGTTCTATGTGCCTTTTCAAAAATCCTACCTTAGCTTGAGTCTTCCAGATCATTTATCATTATTGTACTAAAGAAACATGACTATCTTATTGGAATGACTAAATATTAGGCAGATAATATATGGGACCTCCTTTTACAATATCATTTCTTTGAGTTTGGATGCTTGTTTTTTGTCCATCTTTTTAACACGTGAAGATTTGGGTTTAGACAAAAGGATTGTTTCTGTCTAAATATATTTTGTTTATTGGATTCTTTTTGGGCATTGTTGTCTCCTTAGTTTACATGAATTCCTTCCTTTTTTTAGCAAGCCGGATTGGAGATATAAATTGTTTCTTTATTTATTATTTTTTTTCCAAATTATTGGTGGAGGTGGACTACTCATCTTCATGCAATAGTTTTAACTTTTTAATGGAAATTCGTTTGTTGCTATTAATATGGAAATCTAAGGCTTCCATGTTAGGGGAAGAATTAGGTTTTTGTCTTTTTGATTGTTCTCCTTGTTCTTTATTTTCTCAATGGGATGAGGTAGGTACATATTCTATTAGAGATGTGTAGAAATTTGAGTATTAGAGAAATTGAGGATATAAGGATGATAGAAAAGTAAGACACAAAGAAATATGTGGTTTTTCACACTGCCTACATCCATGTACCTAACGCCCTATATGCTACATCTGATGTATTATTGAAGGTGATTGATTACATGAGACTCAATCCGATTTATAGGGTGAGAATTACACAATATAAAAGACCAATCACATTTATTTATCATCATCTTTAATTATCCAAACAAATCTAGAAATCTATGGATTTCTTTGGATCATATTTTATCTCTAATTGTATATTGATAGATTCTTTCTGATCCTATCATATCTCTAATACTCTCCCTCAAGTTGACATACTAAAATCAGTTGAAGTGTCCAGTTTGAACTGAAAATAGAGTTGCTGTTTGTCAATGAATGGTGTAGCTTTGGACCTTTGGTGATAAAACTCCCCCAGAATAACAGATCGGGGTGAATGCACATGGAATAACCACTTGCAAATTTTATTTATTTATTTATTTTGCCTTCTTTTCTCTCTCCCTTTTTTTTTGACCGGTACCCCTCTCTCCACAGTCAAATCTCCCATCATTTTCTTTCGCCCTCTTTATTTTTGATAAAACCATGCCTTGAGATCTCTTTTCGACAAATGGTTACTGGAATGATCAATTAAACAAAAAAAAATAAAAATAATATGATAATCTTCCTATATTAAAATTGAGAAGCAATTCTTCCGTAACTTAAGCGAGAGCTCACGGTGGCTGATGGATCGATGTCCTTCAGTGTCTTTCTTCATGTGTTTTCTTATTCCCTAGACTCTTTGCTAGATGAAAAACTCCAAAAGTAAAGTGGCAACCAATAGCTAGACTTCTCTCATACAGTAAGTACTGTATTTTTTGGATGTGATAATTAGAGGGAACCAAGTATAGCTTTTACGACTGGCAGTGACTAATCGGAGGCATGACGAAAATAAAGTTAAAGTAAGGTCTTATTGACCTACTTTGATACCATGCAAAAATTTAGAGTATGAGGAAAATTGAAGATAGAAAGAATGATAGAAAAGTAAGACACAAAGAAATACGTAGTTGGGCACATTGCCTACATCTACGAACCTAATGTCCTATAGGCTACATCTGATATATTATTGAAGGTAATTGATTGCATGAGGCTTAACCCTATTTATAGAGTAAGAATTACACAAGATAAAAAATAAATCTTATATATCTATCATCATATTTACTTATTCAAACAAACCTAGATATCGATTGATTTCTTTGAATCCTATCATATCTCTAACTGGATATTGATAGATTTTGTTATCATCTTGTAACTTTTAGTCACTGTGAAAACTTCAACACACCCCCTCACGTGCAGCATACTAGATTGTTGTCCTACAATGTGAAATTTTTTAAATTATCATAGTGACATCCTCCTACTTTGGCACCATATTAAAATACTAACTATTCTAAAAGCTTAAGCTTTTAGAGAAGGGTGGAATATATTTTATTTTTGTAAAACCTCCCGTCACGTGTGGCCCTCTTTGGGTGGTCCACCCATGTGGTTCTTTATTTTTTTGATTAGTAAGGGAGGAGGCTTGGTGAAATTTAAACTCAGGACCTCTAGGCTCTGATACCAGATTAAACCACAATTTACTCTAAAAGTTTAATGTTAGAGAGGGTGTAACTTAAGTATTTATACTTCTCTCCCATCTTACCGTGGCCACTTCTTTGTCAAGTAACATATTTCCGCTTATAAAGAGAACCATGCAAAATCTGGTTTGTGGGGTCTATGAGCGGTTTGAGTTGCTTGATCATGGGCTTCTATTTTAACTTTGCTTTCACCTGCAATATAAGACTAACGTGTGAATGATTGGAGAATGTCAAGTCTTTGCTTGAGAAAGGGGATAAAAGAATAGAGGTCATAGAGTTGAATTGAGAGGTTAGCAGAGAAGTCGGAAAAGTGGATGTTTATTTCTATCTACTGGAGCTCATCTTCTCATCCGTAAAAATCAGATCAGTACTCTCTAAGGATAGAGATTTTGTGCAGACTGCCTTTCTGATGTGAGTTCGAAACTAGCAGGCACTTGGCAGGTGTAAAATGAACCAACCTCAAAAAGCTTTTAAATCTTCCCAAGAGATGACATGATGGGGTTGTCATTGGTTGGGATAGTAGGATTTTTTGCCCTTAACTATTATGAAAATAACTCGGCAGGGAAACATTTGTTATGTGGTTTTAAGACTAAGAAAATGTTAAGTTCTATAGTATCTCTCTGTGGCTTGATTGCCAAATGGATTTTGGAAAAAATCTACATATTCTTATTTGGTTGTGGAATTATAATTCCCATATCTGTTTTGCAGTTGACAGGAAGAGTGGAAGAGAAAAGACGATGGTCTGATGGGATTCACCAAGCGGTGGAGGCTAAAGAAGGACTGAAGATTCAGGTATATATCACTGTGATTGCCCAGTTTTTTGGGTTTGTTTATCACAGTTCCATAGAATTCTCTTTCGCATTTGATCGATATTGTAATTTTTGTGAATTTGTTAGGCTGATTCAGTTGTTGTGGCACAAATTACATATCAATCACTATTTAAGCTATATCCAAAACTTTCAGGGATGACCGGAACTGCAAAAACTGAAGTATGGAGATTCTCATGATTCAAATATTTGTTCCATTGTACTAAATTTTTAGTTTTTTTTGTTTAAGTTGTATTTATTTCATTATCGTAGGAGAAAGAGTTTTTGAAGATGTTCCAAATGCCTGTTATTGAGGTGCCGACAAATCTGCCAAATATTCGTAACGATTTGCCTATCCAAGCATTTGCAGTAAGACATTCACTATTCTTTGATCATTTTCATTGGTAAGTTTTCCAATGATAGAAGTTCTTCATTTGACTTGACCGTGCTTTTCTTTAATGTACATTGTAGACTGCACGGGGCAAATGGGAATTTGTTCGTGAAGAAATTGAGTACATGTTCAGACTGGGTCGTCCTGTTCTAGTTGGAACGACAAGGTATTTCTATGGCACTCACTTTGGTGCAATTCCCTGGTTTGACAGTTTTATTGGGTTTTTTTAGAATTTACACATGCGTCATGTGTATTTGAGCTTCCGAGACTTTTCATCTTCTTTTGTAGCTGTGCTTAGTATGCCTTCTGATTATAAAGATGAAATTCAAAACATGAAAAGAAAATAACAGGAAAGGGCATAACAACTGTCTGCATATGGACTCTGCTGCAAGTTACATTCTGTCACGTTATGCAGGAGATAAGTAAAGATCAGAAATTAATCCGGTCTGATCCGGTATGGAATGAACTTATAATCTATAATTGATTATAAGTTCTTAACCCTAGCCCATTCCCATTTTGGGCGGAACAGATCTACTAATTATTTGATTCCAGTTAGTAAGAGTGATCTTGAACTAAGAATAGACCCTAGAGGCTAAAAAAGGGTATATTGAGCAATGTCAATAATCGGGTTCATTGATATTCGTGGTATAGTAGATGCTATCACACCTACAATCATACTCAATTCGATGAATTGTTTGATCTTAAATGAAATCTTCTATAATTTCGCACGTGAGAGGTTATTTCTTGGTTTCGTCCAGTCATTAATAACTTGATTATTTTTAGATAATAATAGATAGAAACAACGCTTGTAAGGAGTCCTATTAAAACCAAGAAATATAGGCTTGCCTGCCATCCACACCAGAATAAATAGAGTTTTCCGAAAAGACCAGCTAGTGTAGGAAGACCTCCTAGGGATACGAGACAAAGGTTGGAAGTTTAAAATATTTTTAGATAAAAAGTAAGATAGAAGGATCTTATACTATTTTACATTTATCTGTTTCCTAGCTTTGTTGGGTCAACTTGGCCTATGTCCCTAGATATTCTTATATAAGCTTGGAAAGATATTAAGCAAGGGAAATGGTTTCATCATCCTTTGTTTTCTCAGTAACTTGACTTCAGTCCATTATACGTCTTATTGTTCCCAGTTGTCTGTTGGCATTTCCGAAAGTTTGGAAGAGGACAGAGGGATTTTGTATGGCCTGATTGCTGACCCCATAAACCAATCTTCCTGGGTTATAAGTGGAAACTTTGTTCCTCTCTGGGGAGGTACATGATCCATTATGCCTCTGCAAGTTTTGTTCTTTAACAAGAAATATGTCACTTTAAGATCATGGATACCTCTTCTATCACATTGGATAACAACAATGTCATCAACATACAACACAGGAATGATAGTATCCCTAGGCCTTCCTTGAACGAAATGGATGGGTAGCCAATCCATAGTTTGTTGCCAATCATATATAGTCAGTAGTGACTACTAAGCTGAATTTGTCAAGGCAAACTATGTGACAGTTTAAGCCTATAATAGTTTCTTTCAATTTATATGCATTATGTGACTCCTGGTCATCAAGGTTTTGAGTCACGAAAGAGCCTCTCCGCATGCCACATCTGACCTTCTGCAAACCCCGCAGGGGCGGGAGCCCATTGCACTGGTCCGCACTTAGTGTGACTCTTGGTGAGTGACACTCCTAGAGGTTAGTCCACTTGTACCTCTTCTCGAACACACCATGATGAAAAAGTCATCTTTTTGTAGAATGTGTAAGGAGAGTATTAATCATCCCTTTTTTTTTTTTTGCTGTATGCCAGCTCTGTCATTATGGAGGATATTATTTTTGGTGGTTAAGGAGTGTTGGATTTGTCCTTTTTCTTGTGCGGGGATGTTTGTAATTTAATTTTGGACGTTTGGCAAAAGTAAGAAGGCATATCTCATTTGCAAATGTGCAATGTTGGCAGTTTTGTGAGTGATGCTTATAGCAAAATGCTAGAAGTTTTGAAGAGAAGTTTGAGAATGACACTTAATTTTAGGGAAGATTTTCTTTTCGGCATCATTTTGGGCGTCTATATTCCAAGAGTTTGGGAGATTCCTTTTTTCTTGATTAGGGCAGACTGAAATCTGCATGTAATATGTAATTTTGTAGTCTTTTTTGTGGTTCCTTCTCTTCTGGTACTTTTATATATCTTAATAATGAAATTTCTTTGTTGCTGGTCCAAAAAAAAGAAAAAAATCACCATGAAGAAAAGTATTATTAGTAACACCTTCTGAAAGAAGTATTATTTGTCATAAGTTGATAAAGAGGCCAACCCTTCTTGATTACACAGATCAATACACACATGAAATGAAGACATGCCTGAAGAGAAAATGTTTCAAATTAGTCTACCCCAGATGTTTGAGCATACCGTTTTGTCACAAACCCAGCTTTTAACCACTGAATAATACCATTATGATGATAATCATTGTGATGTAACGCTTCAATTTTGTTTTCCATTGCTTGCTTCTAACTAGCTGAGGAGAAGGCTTGAATATTATTATGAGGAACAGCAACAAAGACAAAGAAGGTATGAACAAATGAAGATGTGGTGATAAATGAGAAAAGGAAACACTTTACGTAAGGAACACAGAGCCCAAGCTGAGTGCCCTTCCTTATTGCCGAAGGAAGGTCCTCAAGAGGAGGATTCTCATTGTGGCATTCATTTGCGAATTACTCCATCACATGTTGATAAAGCAGAAGAATCCATTAGAACATGGTATCCAAAGCAAAACACTGCCATTAGGGAAAAAAGGTATCCTTGAAGAAATTGATGCCTGCTGATAAAAAATCGAAAAAACTGAGGTTTCTGCCACTTCCTGTCCCTCTTGGGTTTGATCATAATCCCTAAAGAGACATTTGGTAGCACGAGCTTAGAACTTATTAAGACCTGGGTAGAATCATGTGCAAAACAAACACCACCAAAGATTTGAACTGGATACGTTCCTTTTTAAACAATATATTGAATACGAATTGCTAAATGAAGAAGCTTTCCATGGTTCATCTAATATTCGAAGATATTCAGTAGATGGATCTTGCTGTTGGTTTACAAAGTTAATTTATTCATCCTCTATTGATACCACTGTATACTTTTTATCTTTTTGCATTTGCATGAGTTATGCAATTTCTATAGTTTATTCATTTGTTATTATGGAATGGAATTTGTACATATTACGTCTTTTTAAGCAACCAAATGTCAGCAGATCCTATTCAAGATTCTTGTTTCATTGATGCAGTGTTGAGAATTCTGAATATTTGTCCGCTCTACTGAAGCAGAGGAATATCCCCCACAACGTCCTCAACGCACGGCCAAAGGTTTGATATAAGTTGACTAAGATCTTTTGTTACATAGATAGTTTTATTTGGGATCTAAAATTCCTTTATTAGTGGAGTTTTTATGTGAATATTGTGCTTATATTTGACCATTATGCTTCTGTTTGTTATATATCTATCTTTTATCTGTAGTATGCTGCTAGGGAAGCTGAAATTGTTGCCCAAGCAGGGCGAAAATATGCAATCACCTTATCTACAAATATGGCAGGCAGGGGCACTGACATAATCCTGGGAGGAAATCCGAAGGTAGGTGCACTTGTTATACCTAGTTTTAAACTCAAAATATTAGGTATATGGTTATTCTATCTTTTGGAAAATTTTGAGCGGTGTATGTTGAGTAGTTTTTATCAGTATGCTTAAATTTATTTATTTTTTCTAATTCTTTTGTTATTTGTTTAGCGGTAAGAAATTTCTGATCCTTTTTTAATAAGCAATGAGAACTTCATGAATATTTCCTTTATGGAACTAGAGATGACCGTTTACATTTTCTGGTTGAAAATGTTTAAGATGCTTGCAAAAGAAGTAATAGAAGACAGCTTGCTTTCATTTCTTACTCGAGATGCTCCTGATGTTGAAATTGATGGGGTGCCAGTCTCACAAAAGGTAATACCTGTGTTTATTGGTAATTAAACATAGACAATCAGTTTCTGTTATCACTTTTCCTTGATGTAGGTATTATCAAAGATAAAGGTTGGACCATCATCACTAGCTTTGCTAGCCAAGACAGCTCTGATGGGTTAGTGCCTTCTATGTTTGAATCTTCTTTCATACTCATGTCAGATACAATAGTTTTGTGAAATCATTATCGTTATATATGTTCCCTTTGACTTTAATTTTTGATCAGTTCATATTTGAATGATTCACACAGTTAAATATGTCAGCAAAAGTGAGGGAAAGAGATGGACATATAAGGAGGCAAAATCTATGATCTCGGAGTCTGTGGAAATGAGTCAGTCGATGGACTTGAAAGAGCTAGAGAGGCTTGTTGATGAACAGTCAGAGATGTACCCTCTAGGGCCTTCCATAGCACTTGCTTATCTGTCAGTTTTAAAGGATTGTGAGATTCATTGTTTCAATGAAGGTTTAGAAGTGAAAAGGCTTGGGGGCCTTCATGTGATTGGGACATCTTTACATGAGTCTCGGAGAATTGACAATCAGGTGATTCATTTGACTCTGACTGACTGTCTGGGTGGGTGAAAGTATTTGACTAATTAGTACTGTGGAAGTTACTGGATTTTTTTTCCATACATATACTCTTGAACTTTAATATTTTTGATTGGTCTCAAAAGCTGTCATACAAGTTAGTGCACGTAATGTCATAGTACATATTATAAGATTAATGTGAAAATGTGTATGTTTCTTAGCTGTTGTAATTCATCATATTGATGAGCAACATCATCCATTAGCATCTGAGTTAACCAACAACTTAGAATTTACCAACATGCTTTTTTGATCTGGTGCATTCTATTCATGCCATGTGCATGTTGTACGTTCAAAAGTATCATAAAAATAGAACACTTGCAGTGAATAATTAAGTCCCAAAAAGGGGAAGCTGAGAATTGGATTAATAATCTGTTTTGAGAATATACGGTGTTTTGTTTTCCACTTAATGGTATATTGGTATCAAGAATGCTTTGAATTGTTTTTTCACTTGAGTGAAGTTCTTTGTGGAGCATGCTCTTTACTGCTTTTATGTGTATATATTAGCGTTTTGTTTTGTCTTTTATTTTTTGGTTGATAATTTTAGTTCTTTTGGGATGAAAATGGGTGATGTTTACCTTTTTCTTTCCTGAAAAATAAATAGTAGCAGGTTGAAAACTTGGAATTGAACTGAGACTTGACGGATTGGGTGTTGAATATCCTTTCTTACCTTTACACACTTATGATGAGTGAAACTAGTCTGGATCACTATTTGTGCCATTCTTGTAACTTAAAAAAAAAAGTTTGAAATGACAAAGTGAACACCTATTTCTATTGGTGGTAGTGTTGGACACGGCTAGAAGTCTCCGGAATAGTGAACTTAGTCGGACACGGCCAGGATACGTCGAGGACACGACCAGGATACGTCGACGGACACAACCATGATTTTTTTTTTTTTTTTTATTTTTATATATATATATATATTTTTTATTTTTATTGTTATGTAACTTATATGCTATGAATGTTAATGGATGTTTGATGAAAATGGAAGATGTTTATTTTGATCTATTTCAATTTTGGTCAAAAAATTAATATTTTCTAGGTCTGATTACTAATATTTTTATAAAATAAGATTTTTTTTTAATATAATATAATTCTATTATTTTCTAAAAAATGTATTATATTATTTTAATTAAATGTATCTTTACGGTACCCGTATCTTATATTTTTGAATTAGTACCCGTGTCCTATATTTTTGAACTTTTCCGTATCTCTATGTCTTTATCGTATCGGATTCGACAACCGTGTTCTTATCCGTATTTCCTTGAATACAAGAAGCAAATGTGGAGGGATAAAAGTAAAAACTACCCACAAATACACAAACAACTTCCCAAAATTCTTTTTCAAAATATAGCCTTTGCTACATGAAATGTCTTTACTCTTTTCCAATCTTTGGATGTTTGGGTGAGCTAATTAGAGATAACCAAAGGTCTGGGTTCTTCACTTAGATCAAAATCTGATGTTGTGAGTTTTGCTCCGTATTATTATTGGTGTTTGTGCCCTTGGTTTTTCCAATTGGCCATATTGGAATCGAGTTGTGAGGGTTTTTTTTCGAGGATATGGAGTCAATTAAGGCAAATGTTGTGGCTATTGATACTTCAAATGGTCCTTTTGCCATGCATCTTAAAATGATCCGAATAGGTTTTGCAAAAATCAGAAGGTGAAGAGCAGTAGGTTCAATTTGCAAATACCTGTAGGGATACAATAATATTTTCACCATGATGTCTAAATTTGTGAATGTGAATATAGTTGTACAATTAAAATGTCTTATGCAGTTATGCACCCACATGCGTTTGCTCACAATCACATTTATTTCAATGTCCGAACATGTATAAATAATACAAATGCAAAAAAAAAAATTTTGTATTGTACCCTTTTACCAATCTTAAGTTTTTATTAGATGTTTACTCAAATACCTCCTTTTCATTTCCCTTTTTCTCAACTGCTGTGCATTTGCACTTGTTACCGCTTGGACAAAGTTTTCATTTACATGTGATTCACATGGTAAGTAAGATAAGTGTCATAAACTGGGAGGACTTTACAAGTTTTCAAGGGGCATCCCCAAGTCATGGACATTCAGTCACTCGCAAATTCACTTTCAACAATTCCAACTCTCACAGGTCTGTTGAAATAAGCTGTGTGGTGAAACAATCTGTAAGGTGAAATTTATACCACATCTGTACCAAAACCAAAATGACAAGGCTGGATAGTTTAGGGTCGGGGATCTATAGAAACAAAATGATTCCCCACCCTAGATTTCTTAAACAATCATAGGATCAGAGACTGCCCACAGTACAAAAGACAGCAAAAAGGAGAAACTTTTTTTTGAGATAAAAAGCAGAAGTTTTACAAGGTTTATGATAAAAAAATAATCTTATATGAGTTTCAAACATGATATTTTGAGTTCGGTGGCTTTGGATGTGTAATTCTAGGCATTATACACTGAAGGCAACATTTCAGACTCTATTCCTTTGTGCCTTCTGTATTCTGTTATTTTTCCATCACATCACGCTTGAACGTGTGTGCCTTAATCAGTCAAGGATGCTTGCTGCAGGTCTATTGAACTTACGTTGAACTTGCTTCCTGATGATTCAAAGCTTGTATACTTTCTTTAAGAAGTTTTATATTTGTTTCCTTGGTTTTTCTGTTTCATTCTTATTGGTAACCAAAACAATATTTTTCTTTCCCAAAGCTTCGTGGCAGAGCAGGCAGGCAAGGGGATAATGGATCAACCCGGTTTATGGTGAGGTAAAATGCTAATTAAAGTTTGCTGCAAAATTGTGAGCCTAAAATGGCTATTAATGTCAGATAAATAACTCTGAAATGTGCTTTATTATATTTAGTTTGAATTTACATACATAAATAAGTAGACCTAAATCATTGTCGCAGCAAAGTTGTCCAATGATACACCATTTTAGGGGGATCTGAGCCATGTGAGATTAATTTGAAACAAACTTTTTCTTCTGAGATAAGTTAGATTCTTCTGTCGTTCTTTGGAATTCATGAGAAAACTCTCAGCTAGTACTCGAGCTATAGCCAGTAGACTTCTCTAGCAGCCTTGACCTACGTTTTTTTTTTGCTTCCCCTTGCCCAAATAGCAATAAATCTAGTGCATTATCTAGATACACCCCCCTCTCAGCTTTTCCATTTGCTTATATCCTAGAATTGGACTCTTCACATTCCAAAAGGCCAATGGCACAACTAGACTACTCAAATTTCAAAGGCTATCTAGAATTCTAGATATGCTTACTTTTGCAAGTAGGTTTTTTCAATTTCCAAGGCTAAGATGGCAACTCCGATAGGCTAGTTGGAGCCAACCACCACTGCTGTTGATCTGATGCAGTGCAAACTTCAATTACTGGTGCCAACCCAATACCTTCTTGAACGGTGAATTCACACTCTGAGCTTCATCGAGGTTTCAATAGTTCATGCGACATCATGCTTGGATTCTGTAAAAGTGAATTATTGGCTAGAATATTAAGAATTGATGTTCGGTCAAATTTATTGAGAGACCAAATGAATATAGGACTTGAAGGAAATCTATAATGATGATTGGGGGAATATTTGCTCTGTTAATTGGAATTGGACTACAACTCTTACGAAGAGATTCACTTGTGGTTGTGGACAATGGTCTCCCTAGTCCATGGATAGGATGGTTTACAGTAGTGTTAAAGTATCCAACTCAAAACCTGTTGGCATTGAGCGAAAAAACCCCTTAACCATATAAATCAACTTTGGGTTGTCCTAAATCCTAATCATTCGATGTGGGACATGAGTTCTGTTTTCACCCTCCTTTATGTCAGGCTCACATGTGGGCTAACAATCAAAATAGAAAAAATACATGCTAAGGTATTCAAATGGATGAGAGACTTGACCCACTAACCACCCAAGGCTTAACTCTAATACCATGTTAAAACATTTAACTTAAAATCAATAAGCAATGAGTGGGTATATCCCTCAACCATATAAGCCAACATTAGGTGGCCCTGATCTTTCAATGTGGGATATGAACGCTCTTTACAGTTAGGCTAAAGGAGGGGTGGGAGTGGAATGTAGGGGTATTCTTTTAGTAATTTCCCAATATTTGTGGCAAATCTTCTTTGGTTTTTGTTTCCCTTTGGCTGTTATGTTTTTGATTCTTCTTTTCTTGTGGCACCATCGGCCTAAATACAAAAAATCTCTTCCAGGTGAGTCCAATGGAAAATCAGGAGTTGAGGGGAAAAGTAAAGAAACTTAACCAATAGAGGCATAACTATTACAAGCGTTGTCTTGCGATGTATATTTTGTTTCCATTTATTTTTAGAAATTAATGAGTTTAAATAGAGAATGATTCTTGGAGTGGTAGTTGGTGGGACATTGAGAATCCTAGGACTGATTCTGCAGGTTTAGAATGNGCTAAGATGGCAACTCCGATAGGCTAGTTGGAGCCAACCACCACTGCTGTTGATCTGATGCAGTGCAAACTTCAATTACTGGTGCCAACCCAATACCTTCTTGAACGGTGAATTCACACTCTGAGCTTCATCGAGGTTTCAATAGTTCATGCGACATCATGCTTGGATTCTGTAAAAGTGAATTATTGGCTAGAATATTAAGAATTGATGTTCGGTCAAATTTATTGAGAGACCAAATGAATATAGGACTTGAAGGAAATCTATAATGATGATTGGGGGAATATTTGCTCTGTTAATTGGAATTGGACTACAACTCTTACGAAGAGATTCACTTGTGGTTGTGGACAATGGTCTCCCTAGTCCATGGATAGGATGGTTTACAGTAGTGTTAAAGTATCCAACTCAAAACCTGTTGGCATTGAGCGAAAAAACCCCTTAACCATATAAATCAACTTTGGGTTGTCCTAAATCCTAATCATTCGATGTGGGACATGAGTTCTGTTTTCACCCTCCTTTATGTCAGGCTCACATGTGGGCTAACAATCAAAATAGAAAAAATACATGCTAAGGTATTCAAATGGATGAGAGACTTGACCCACTAACCACCCAAGGCTTAACTCTAATACCATGTTAAAACATTTAACTTAAAATCAATAAGCAATGAGTGGGTATATCCCTCAACCATATAAGCCAACATTAGGTGGCCCTGATCTTTCAATGTGGGATATGAACGCTCTTTACAGTTAGGCTAAAGGAGGGGTGGGAGTGGAATGTAGGGGTATTCTTTTAGTAATTTCCCAATATTTGTGGCAAATCTTCTTTGGTTTTTGTTTCCCTTTGGCTGTTATGTTTTTGATTCTTCTTTTCTTGTGGCACCATCGGCCTAAATACAAAAAATCTCTTCCAGGTGAGTCCAATGGAAAATCAGGAGTTGAGGGGAAAAGTAAAGAAACTTAACCAATAGAGGCATAACTATTACAAGCGTTGTCTTGCGATGTATATTTTGTTTCCATTTATTTTTAGAAATTAATGAGTTTAAATAGAGAATGATTCTTGGAGTGGTAGTTGGTGGGACATTGAGAATCCTAGGACTGATTCTGCAGGTTTAGAATGCATTTAAGTAGTTAGGTGTTCTTTTATTTTAACTCATGCTAGAAGATCCAAGCTGTGATTCTAATCAAATACCTGTAGACCTCACTTGATCTCATCTGCCTGGCTAAAATGTTACTTGCTAAAACTCTAGATGCGTAACTTGATGTTCGTTTCCAATCCGTGGATGGTGTTGGTATTGTTTCTGTAAAGGGAACACATTTACCATCATGTTTACGAAGATAAATTTTGCAACTTTGTTACTTATTTATGTCAACTTTGGTGTAAAAATAGTTATATTCTTCTCACATGCCTTTATTATTAATACTTCTCAACCTCCTCCTCCTCTATTAAGGTGCCACAGCTACTCTGACTTACCTATTTGTGTCACAGCTTGCAGGATGAGATGTTTCGGAAATTTAATTTTGACACTGAGTGGGCTGTGAAACTTATTTCAAGGATAACAAATGATGAGGATATGCCGATCGAAGGTGGTGCAATTGTTAAACAGGTATATGCTTTGGTAGTGTCCATGACAGCTTTTCTTTCTTCCTTTATTTACATGTATCTCTTTTCTTTTTCATTTTTTGTATGGTTATAATTATCTCCTTTTTGTAAAGTTGAGCCATCACAAATTTTCAGCTTCTGTCCCTGCAAATCAGCGCCGAGAAATACTTTTTTAACATAAGAAAGAGTCTCGTAGAGTTTGATGAAGTGTTAGAGGTACGCCATCTTATTTTGAGTTTGCGCCTTTTACTTCATTTGATTTTATGTTCTCGCCTAATAAATTGTCTATAATGGTTCACACCTTGATAAGTGAGACTTTAAAACCAAATTGTTTCGTATAAAATTCTTGAGTAGTCATTTATAATTCAGAAAAATTATGCATCTTTTGATCTAGAATTGAGTTGCCCCAAAGTTTGAAGAGTTACAGTTTAATTTGAGTTTCGCCTATCAGGTGCAAAGAAAGCATGTCTATGATCTTCGTCAATTGATTTTAACTGGTGATTCTGGAAGTTGTTCACAGCACATATTCCAGTAAGTGCCTTCCTTACTCTCAAGAACTCCATTTGTGCCAAGTATATTAAAAGTTATCCAACTTGGTATTTGTGGATAGAACACATTTAGTTGCCATACATTTGGCGTTAGCATGTGTCAGATTTATAGAAATGCATCGTCTTTAATTGCAGCTAAAGCATCATTTCAGAGTTAAGATGTTATTGGTGCAATGTGGCTAGATATAGAAAGATAATGGCAGAAAAATATTGTTTGATTGTGACAAGTTTTCTATTTCCCTTGTAATGCATGTAAATAATGATTAAACAAAGAAAAAAGGAGAGAAGAGAAAAGGGAGAATATGTCTACGGCTACACTAATCTGTCATAATAACTTAACCTCAGATACACAAGACAAGGCCTTACATAGTAGGGCAACATAAAAGAAAGAAAACTACTAAACTACCCCTACTGCTAATAAGACACTAATAAGCTAGACTACTCTAACACCCTCCCTCAAAATCATGATGTTGTATGGAGAAATCAAGAGTTTGCCGAGAAAATGAAAATGTGCTATAGTATGAGATTTTGTAAAGAAATCCATTAACTGCAGGGTAGAAGGAAGAAAGTGAAGAGAGATAGTGCCCTGAAGATGATGGTGTACAAAATGACAGTCAATTTCAATATTCTTCGTATGCTAACTCCAAATTCAGTTTCTTCTTCTGATGAATACCACTGTTATGCAATTCGTGTTTAGGATCGGAATAGAAAAGAAGAGAGAAGAGAAAAGGGGGAATATATCTATGGCTACATTAATCTGTTATAATAACTTAATCTCAGATACACAAAACAAGTCTTTGTATAGTAGGGCACCATAAAAGAAAGGAAACTACTATATGCTGCCCTACCCATCCAATAGGAGCAGGTTATCCATGTCTGGCCATTTCCTCTATCTAGTCTATATGGAATATTCTAAGAAATACATGATATGCAGTTTCAATTGCTATTCTGTTTTGTTTTTGTTTTCTAGTAAATGGAAGTTTTAATTTTCTTTATTGGCTTCTGTTGACAATGTCAGTTTAGTTGTCATTGTCTTAACTGGCAGCATCATTTTCTGAATGCACTAATAAATTGCTTTTAGGTACATGCAAGCAGTGGTAGATGAAATCGTTTTTGGAAATGTTGATTCAGCAAAGGTAGTGAATTTGTTGTTGTAGAATGCCATGTATTGTCATATACGGTTTCTAATTCTTATTTTCCACATTATCATAGCATCCAAGCAGATGGAGTTTGGGTAAGCTGTTGAAGGAGTTCAATGGAATTGCAGGGAAGGCATTGGATGGTGAGCTTGTTTTGAATCATTCGTTGGTCCTGTGATTTTAATTTGCTAGAAGTTTAGTTAATAAGTTTGATTGATAGTTTGCTGTTGCCAATATATATTCTCAAGCATTTAAATTTCTCCAGACTCATTTACACGGATTACGGAGGAAGCCTTGCTGCAATCACTTGCACTAGTTCATGACTCGAATTCTTTAAATATCAATGGGGTTCACCTTCCCAATTTGCCCACACCTCCAAATGCCTTCAGAGGTATTCGCAGGAAGAGCTCTTCATTGAAACGCTGGCTTGACATATGCTCCGATGATTCAGCAAAGTGCGTCAATCTTGATGACATGATATTGTATATATGACTTGGCAATTCTTTGGGGTTTAAAATTCTGATAGCTGCAATCATATGATTTAATTTTATGGTACTTATTGATGTGTAATGTAGAGATGGAAGATACCGAACAGCTGCTAATCTTCTCCGCAAATACCTTGGAGATACTTTGATTGCTTCATATTTGGATATCGTGCAAGAATCTGGTTATGATGATGCATATATCAAGGAAATAGAGGTAATATTCTTTCTTCACGTTTTAATTGGAGACCTCCCACAACAAAGTTAATTGAGATCAGATGACATGTAGTCACTAGCATGATGCAACCACTTCCGAAGTCAAACAAAATGATATTCAATTTTTCAGGATTAATTGAAATAGAAGCATTTAGTTATTCTGATAGCATGGAATATTCCTGAGTTAATATGTTGAAGTAGCATTCACCAGATAGGACTTCCTATTGGATAAATCTTATTCACTTGATGAGCGTTTTGGTCCTAAAATTAGAGGAAGTTGAATTGAAGTGCTTTATTTTCTGATTCCATATGCACGTGCATAACCTCATTTAAACATTTTTAAAATTTTTCAGTACTGATTGATTGCCTGCTTGTTTTAGTTGCTGTGTATAAGTTCATTTTCTGTTTGGTTTTTTAATACATTCCTTGTTGGAATCCAGAGGGCAGTTCTTGTGAAGACTCTAGATTGCTTCTGGAGGGATCATCTTGTAAACATGAACAGGCTCAGTTCAGCGGTAATACTTTGTTGATGCAAAACTTTTTCACTTTCCAATAGGCAGAAGCTTATTTGGAATTTTTGCAGGTGAATGTAAGGAGTTTTGGGCACAGGAATCCACTTGAGGAATACAAAATTGATGGATGTCGATTTTTCATCTCAATGCTCAGTGCAACACGGAGATTAACTGTGGAATCTCTCGTGCGTTATTGGTCATCTCCAATGGAGTCCCACGAATTATATGTATCATAGAAGCAGAAAGGTTATTACACTATGTATATATATATATATATATGCACAAGTATCTTATTTATTTTAGCCTGTACATGCCAAATTTGACTTGTTAAAAGACATTTTCTTTAGTATAATAAGCCTCAGAAGTGTAGGATTCAATCATTGCCTTTTTCTTATATTAACACAACAATTGTAAATGACAAAACTGTTCTTTTATTTGTTGGATGGTGATGTCAGGATAACAGTCATTCTCTGGAGGTGTAAAAATTTTCATTTGAACTTCAAAGGTATAACATTGTTATTTTTTTCCGCCCACTTTTTCTGGTTCTAGTATATGGATTGCACCAGAACTACCATAATCGAGTCTTTGTTGGCAGCGGGATGACTCGGGGATTCAGGATTATATTCTTCCTTCCTATTTTGAGCTCAGATGTGATGGCTTTCTTACTTCAAAGCAGTGTTTTCTTTTTCCCTGGCTTAATATATCAGAAAAAGGTAAAGCAGCGACTACTCACACTTCGAAAAGATGTGCAATTGATTCCATTATATGTCATGGAAACCTTTCACCACATATAATCATATTACTTGAAAAAGGGTCGCACATCGATTTTCCAGAAGGTGCAAATCCCTTTTCTTCGAGCTTGGTGCCATAGATAATTGTGCTATTCCACCTTGAGTAAACCTAAAGGAGGGTTTTCTGATCTTAATCATGGAATAGAACTTCCAGCAATTTATTTTCTATTCCTAGCCTTTTTGATATTATATTGTCTTCAACCTGTTCGATATGTAATTTTTTCAAAATTTTTTTTTTGTCAATTTTTAGGTTGCATTTTTGAAGTTTAGGAATTTCTATTAGATTTGGCAACAGTTGCTGCTGAGGTTGAATTCACGTCAGGAGACTTCTGGAAAAGTGAGGTCCTACGAAATGTGTGCATTGATTCATCGAAGTTAAGGGAAGCCGTCATTTTTATTCTGTCACCATCACATCATTATGAGAAAAATATAATTTTTGTGCAACTTCACATTTTCCTGAAAATGTATCTAAACATTTCCGTTTTGATAATCAATGTTCCTTACAGGTCCTTTGAACCATTTCCTTGCATCCAAAATCCACCAAAGCATTATCAGCGACAAAGCTATACCAAGAGCTACGGGCGCATAGTTAAAAGTGTTCCACGTGATGGGGTATAGAGTTGGCAATAGGAAGGCTGAACAGGTATAACATATCCACAAGAAGGCTACCGAGCAAATGGGTCTTCTTGCTTTGCCCAAATAGAAGGGTCCTGGTTTGAAGTTCTTCTCGGCCATGACCAGCCTTGCAAAAATGGGGACAGCGTAGCCACCTACCCATCCAACTGTACTGATGGAAATGATGGCATTGAAGATCACATTGAGTTTCAAGATGGGCAGTCCAAGAACTGTCGAGATGGTTGCGCAGAGCCACACTGCATTTACTGGAACCTTGTGTATCGGGTGAAGTCTTCTCCATATTGGTGAGAATGGAATGCCTTTGTCCCTAGATAGAGCATAAACCTACAACGAAAAGAAAGAGGCAAATGAAACCAATAAGATGGCAAGGACTACAAACCCTAGAAAACTCTAGGAATATATATATATATATATATATATATATATGAAGATTGGTAACTTTGAATACTTGAAACGCTGAGAGAAGGCACTGCAGATGAAATAACTTGGGTTTAAATATTGACAACGAATGGCAGGTTTGCCTTGAATATAAGGGTATAGGGACATGTTCAATGGCCTGTTCCCATTTACCTATGACTTGTATTGACTCTGAAAATCCAGTAACATGGTGACGCGCGTGTTTTATTTTTTAAAATATGAAATTATGCATGTTTAAGTTTACAAGTACCTTTGAACTCAGGTTGTTGATTTTCATTTGGACTATGGGGCCATATATATGTAAATTATCAAATTGAAAGTTTACATAAATGATTTTGACTAGATAGCTTTCTGTGTTTCTTGGGTAAACGACTAGACTTGAGAGTTTAGTTAGGGAAGTGTAATAGTACTGTCTGTGCTCTCTTTCCTTTTTCTATGCCTTTACAATCCCCATCCTCTTCCCCCAAATTTTTAACTCAATTGGGAATATTACTACAGATGATAGAGGAATAATTATTATGCTCATCAAGGCAATGTGCTTAAATGGATGGATAGAAATAGCTTCATCGCATGCAGGGTGAATTATGCACATCTGACACCTTAGACCCTGTAATGGCTGGAGATTTGTGCACTGACTGAACTGTCTTTTTCCCCCAAGAAACTTGCATGAAAGGCTTTACTTCATCGTTATTTTGACATGTTTCAGATTAATGCAGTGTACAATCTTCCTCAGAAAAATGTATTACTTTTTGACAAATGGTCAAGTGGCTTTAACTTTGGAGGCCCAGACTACTAATATCTTGGGTTTTGATATAATGACAGAATTTGACACATTGCTCAGAGAGGAGAAAGATATACTTACAACTCTGGCAGCACTAGTTGTGACAGAAAGCCCACAGAAGAAGAAGGATCCCCAGATGATGCACAGAAAGACTATGGCTCCAGTTGAATTGTGATACCTTCCATGGAATGCATCATATATTATTTGTGCAGGTACGAGTGCTCCGGCTGTCTCATTGTTCACATCATATAAGTAGCTAGGATCCTGCAATAAAATCCCATTTGTTTCTTAGTGTGATGTTTTGCTGCTAGAAGGAAACGATTGAATAGGTTGCAAATAAAGCAAGCTGTTCAGTTCAGAATCGGCTTAGATAAATGCTCCTTCAAGTTCAGTAAGTTATCCAATAATTTATCCAATGATCCGAGCTTGATCTCAGTTGTGAAGTTCAGTTAATAACTGAGCTGAGCTTGAGCAAAAGCTCAGTTAATAACCGATGACTTATTCTGCTCATGATCTTGTTCATGAACTGAGTTGTTATTTTGGACTAAAAAAGAACTGAGTTGTTCATGAACAACTCCAAATCGGTTTGGACAGAAGCTCCTATTCAATTTTAAAGCTCATTTAATAAATGAGCTGAGCTTGAGCACTGGCTTATTCTGTTCATGATCACACACACGTGTGAGTAGACGAGCTGAGTTTGAACTTGAATATGAGTTTGAACTCAATTTTAGGTTCAAACAANACGCTGAGAGAAGGCACTGCAGATGAAATAACTTGGGTTTAAATATTGACAACGAATGGCAGGTTTGCCTTGAATATAAGGGTATAGGGACATGTTCAATGGCCTGTTCCCATTTACCTATGACTTGTATTGACTCTGAAAATCCAGTAACATGGTGACGCGCGTGTTTTATTTTTTAAAATATGAAATTATGCATGTTTAAGTTTACAAGTACCTTTGAACTCAGGTTGTTGATTTTCATTTGGACTATGGGGCCATATATATGTAAATTATCAAATTGAAAGTTTACATAAATGATTTTGACTAGATAGCTTTCTGTGTTTCTTGGGTAAACGACTAGACTTGAGAGTTTAGTTAGGGAAGTGTAATAGTACTGTCTGTGCTCTCTTTCCTTTTTCTATGCCTTTACAATCCCCATCCTCTTCCCCCAAATTTTTAACTCAATTGGGAATATTACTACAGATGATAGAGGAATAATTATTATGCTCATCAAGGCAATGTGCTTAAATGGATGGATAGAAATAGCTTCATCGCATGCAGGGTGAATTATGCACATCTGACACCTTAGACCCTGTAATGGCTGGAGATTTGTGCACTGACTGAACTGTCTTTTTCCCCCAAGAAACTTGCATGAAAGGCTTTACTTCATCGTTATTTTGACATGTTTCAGATTAATGCAGTGTACAATCTTCCTCAGAAAAATGTATTACTTTTTGACAAATGGTCAAGTGGCTTTAACTTTGGAGGCCCAGACTACTAATATCTTGGGTTTTGATATAATGACAGAATTTGACACATTGCTCAGAGAGGAGAAAGATATACTTACAACTCTGGCAGCACTAGTTGTGACAGAAAGCCCACAGAAGAAGAAGGATCCCCAGATGATGCACAGAAAGACTATGGCTCCAGTTGAATTGTGATACCTTCCATGGAATGCATCATATATTATTTGTGCAGGTACGAGTGCTCCGGCTGTCTCATTGTTCACATCATATAAGTAGCTAGGATCCTGCAATAAAATCCCATTTGTTTCTTAGTGTGATGTTTTGCTGCTAGAAGGAAACGATTGAATAGGTTGCAAATAAAGCAAGCTGTTCAGTTCAGAATCGGCTTAGATAAATGCTCCTTCAAGTTCAGTAAGTTATCCAATAATTTATCCAATGATCCGAGCTTGATCTCAGTTGTGAAGTTCAGTTAATAACTGAGCTGAGCTTGAGCAAAAGCTCAGTTAATAACCGATGACTTATTCTGCTCATGATCTTGTTCATGAACTGAGTTGTTATTTTGGACTAAAAAAGAACTGAGTTGTTCATGAACAACTCCAAATCGGTTTGGACAGAAGCTCCTATTCAATTTTAAAGCTCATTTAATAAATGAGCTGAGCTTGAGCACTGGCTTATTCTGTTCATGATCACACACACGTGTGAGTAGACGAGCTGAGTTTGAACTTGAATATGAGTTTGAACTCAATTTTAGGTTCAAACAAAAGCTCGAGCTTGGTTTGTTTAGTCAGAAGGACAGAGCTGGGAGCTGTAATTGGATTTAGACAAAAAATTAACATGCCAATCTTGAACAAGATGCCCGAAGCTTGTCATGATTCCGAGTAGATCCTAAGCACTTTCTGAACGAACGCTGTGAACAGTCTAGCATTCAGCTTGATTCAATTCATTTGCAACCCTATATGACTGAACAAGACCAACTATTTAGGGGTACCCGGATGCTGAAAGTGAGAGCTAAATTGTATGCCCATCCGAACACAGTGATGATGCCAATGCTAGAAAGAATTGCAGTAGGACCAGTTCTATCAGCTCCTTTGGTTTCTTCTGTTAAATGAGCAGCAGTGTCATAGCCATATAGACAGTAATTGCTTAGAAGTACAGACATAATCACAGCATAGGGCTTGCTGCTTATTCCAGTTTCCTCAGGAGACATCTCGAAATGAGTGAACACATAGGAGGCTGGTTGTGTTGGCCTTGCCACCAGAGGAAGCATTATAATCACCACCATACCACCAAGGATCTGCATGTTTTATGAGATTGACTTGTTACCTTTCAATGTTTGAGCCTTACAATTAGGGGGTGACAATTGAGTTTGGTTGTGTTGTACTTGGTTGGGTATATGCCAAGTATTAGTCAATCTTCATTTGACTAGTTTAATTAATCGTGCAAGTTGACCTAGTCATCAATTATGTCTTTTTCCGGGTTGACACACATAACTCGTGAACCTCCTAAAATCCAAAATTAAACTACTTTTTTTTCTCAACTAAAATAGTTGCATATATATTTTTCATAAATTAAAATTCATTGGATCTAGATGCTTGTAAAATTAAGTAAATTTACTCTAATTATATAAAAATTCATATAATATTGGTCAAAGTGTGAAAAGAATACGAAAACATAACATTTTCTTTATTCTATACGAGGTAAAATGGTTTATTGTCTCAGAATTAAGCTATAAGTATACTAACCCGCCTCATTTAGTATTTGTGTTAATAGATTTTCTCAATTTCTTTGTTTGTTTTTCTCATTTTTGGGTTCACGTGCAAAACGAATTAGTTCATTATTCTCGTGCTGGTTAATTACTGTCGTGTCAAAACTTACTACTAATTATAGGTAGCAAATTTTATGTTTGTGTCTTTGTCGCGTCGTGTCAAAAACTTAAGATCACTTAAAACCAGCAAATTAGCATGAAGAATAAGGGAGAGAGGACATGGTAAGTATCACCTGCCACCAAATGGAAATGATGTTGAGGTATGCAATTACTTTGAGGGCAAATGAGTTGAGTACTGCCCAGACGAAGATGAGGAAGACGTACATGCACAAGAATACACTTCGAGGAGCAAAGTAACCCCCACCCTTGTTTGTTCCAGTGGACAAAAGAATAATTACTTGCAATGCCTGTGCTCCTGAATATGACTGCAAGTTTGTACACATCATTAGTATCGTCAACCCGAATTCAATTCATTAAAAAAAAAAAAAAATTTNAGACAGTAATTGCTTAGAAGTACAGACATAATCACAGCATAGGGCTTGCTGCTTATTCCAGTTTCCTCAGGAGACATCTCGAAATGAGTGAACACATAGGAGGCTGGTTGTGTTGGCCTTGCCACCAGAGGAAGCATTATAATCACCACCATACCACCAAGGATCTGCATGTTTTATGAGATTGACTTGTTACCTTTCAATGTTTGAGCCTTACAATTAGGGGGTGACAATTGAGTTTGGTTGTGTTGTACTTGGTTGGGTATATGCCAAGTATTAGTCAATCTTCATTTGACTAGTTTAATTAATCGTGCAAGTTGACCTAGTCATCAATTATGTCTTTTTCCGGGTTGACACACATAACTCGTGAACCTCCTAAAATCCAAAATTAAACTACTTTTTTTTCTCAACTAAAATAGTTGCATATATATTTTTCATAAATTAAAATTCATTGGATCTAGATGCTTGTAAAATTAAGTAAATTTACTCTAATTATATAAAAATTCATATAATATTGGTCAAAGTGTGAAAAGAATACGAAAACATAACATTTTCTTTATTCTATACGAGGTAAAATGGTTTATTGTCTCAGAATTAAGCTATAAGTATACTAACCCGCCTCATTTAGTATTTGTGTTAATAGATTTTCTCAATTTCTTTGTTTGTTTTTCTCATTTTTGGGTTCACGTGCAAAACGAATTAGTTCATTATTCTCGTGCTGGTTAATTACTGTCGTGTCAAAACTTACTACTAATTATAGGTAGCAAATTTTATGTTTGTGTCTTTGTCGCGTCGTGTCAAAAACTTAAGATCACTTAAAACCAGCAAATTAGCATGAAGAATAAGGGAGAGAGGACATGGTAAGTATCACCTGCCACCAAATGGAAATGATGTTGAGGTATGCAATTACTTTGAGGGCAAATGAGTTGAGTACTGCCCAGACGAAGATGAGGAAGACGTACATGCACAAGAATACACTTCGAGGAGCAAAGTAACCCCCACCCTTGTTTGTTCCAGTGGACAAAAGAATAATTACTTGCAATGCCTGTGCTCCTGAATATGACTGCAAGTTTGTACACATCATTAGTATCGTCAACCCGAATTCAATTCATTAAAAAAAAAAAAAAATTTTATTGAGAAAAATAATCTTGTTCGCAATCAAATACACGAGAAAATGCCTTTACCAATGTTGGTAAATATTTTCCCCCTCGAGCATAATCCAATGTCGATGATAACCTGTAAACTGACTTGTTTTTGGCTTTTTTCTAGGTTACAACATTATACATTGTTATGACTTGACCTCGACTTTCAACCAGGGTGCTGCAACCTTTTAGATTTTTAGAACTGCATGCACAACTCGGGTTCAATTCTCATATTCAATTTTCTGGGTGTAAGATTTTTAGTTGAAATTTTAGTAAAACAGGAAGGTATAAGCAGAAAATTGTAGTACCTGGGCACTAATTCCAGATATCAGGCCAATTGTTTCGAGCCAAGCACAGCACCATGAAGCAAATGGGCCCCATCTTGGTCCAGCCAAATGGGCAGCCCAGAAGTATAGGGACCCAGTGGTCTGCAATGTTTTTACCAACAGGACAGTAAAATAATGAGTCCACCCACTCTTCAAAATATACCACGTTATCATTATCTCGTAGTGTGATAAGCCAATTACGAATTAACACATAGAATTAGTAGATTCTATTAAATTGTGTAACAACCAATAATTTCTGCATTCAATCGCTATCATGTGAGATTAGTAGAGTTTCGTTGGTCTATTTGTTTGTTTATTATTAGTCGATGAAACCAACCGTTACATTGAATTTTTACTCGAACAACTGATTTTTATACCCTTACTTTAATTCACATTATAAATTCAACCTTGAATTGCACTTTATTATGTTTTTTTTTTGTTTTAGCCTAGATGGGGGCAGAAGCATACAGAAGTTTGGTCTTTCAAATTTTTGAAACGTCTAGAGTGAAGTTAGGGCGAATTATACTTCGCACTCTAAAAGATTTTATGAATTTTCTTTTGTACCTTCAAAGATTAAATTTTTTAAATTACGGTCTCTATATATCAAAAGTATTACAAAGTGGTTTTTCTATCAGTTTTCTCGTCAATGTTAATGGATTGACTTTTAACCAAAAAAAATAACGGAAGCTAACAAACATGTCACATTGTAACGTTTTTGATATATTGAAGTTACAATGTGAAAATCTTTGAAGATATAAAAGAAAAAATTTAAAATCATTCAGGTGCAAAATTGCGAAAACCCAGTGAACTTATTTAGTTTGAGGCTATTCATTACCCAAGCCAGAGGCTTCCCCCCCTAATGAAGAAAGTTTTTGTATAGGAACACAGCATAAAGTAGTGAGAAGGAGGAGAAGCATACTGGGAAAGAAGAGCAGATCTCAGCCATGGCAATCCCAACAAACCAGGTGAAAAAAGTGACCACAACCCATCCCCATATTAAGCTTGCCGGACCTGCATACAGCAAGCTCTGCCCATACAAAGGCGTTCCGGTGAACACCGCCATGGAAGAGAAAGTAATCGCCAGCGTCTTGAAAAATGTCTGCAAACAACCAAGGGGAAAAAAAAATATCATCATATTCAACAGTTTATTTACCTACCAATAAAAGAGAGAGATAAGATTTTCATAGAAATTGTTTCAAAATAGTTCCAACGAAACACCCATTTTGGTAACATCCAGTGCCTAATAAAATATATCGTCATTGATGGTGTGTTCTGCGCGGTTGAGCAAAAGAAAGGAAATGGACATGAGCAAACTAAGTAGTAGGAGGAAGATTAGATAAACCATCTCTCTTCTGAGTTCCTGCTTGTATCCAAGCTCATTGAGACGCTTCTCTGCTGAATCCATTTCCATAACCTGCAAAGAGATTGACATCCAACATCTTATTCTCCCAAACCCATATCAAAATTTGTAGAAGAGCTCACTACAATTTGCCAAAGTTGAAGAGAAAAGCACCATTCAGAATTCTCCAAGATTTTGAAGCACAAGCAATGATAGATATAAATATCCGAGCTTGAAGCAGCAGGCTCAAGAGTAACTTGGAGAAGAGAAACCTTAGTAGTTTTCTACAGTATCTTTTGCAGCATGGCGATCAACCCAGTCCCAACTATTTAGACTCAGTCCGATAAAAATTTTCGATAATTTAAGAGGCCCTCCTCTCCTCTATACCTTTGCTCCATCCGAGGCTAGATTCTTAGATCCGTTTCTGGTTGACCCAACAAGCATTGAAAATATAATTGGAATAAGAATAGTCACCACCTAGCTAGGGATGAGGGAGGAGTCTCCTAGTAGTGGAGTGTCATGAAGGTTGTCAATATTGTAAGAAATATCGTTGCGTATTTCTTTGACTTTGTAACTGTATAGTGCCATTTCCAATTTGTCTTTTACCTAGTTTTGGTCCAACTGATCTGGTCAAAAAAGCTGCAAAAATAATTAAAAAAAGAGCAACACTTTGAATTTTCAGCCGGCCAAAATCCAAATACTAATAAATAGCTGAAGTTTGACTTCTTAGCACCTACGCAAGTCTTTTTTTTATTTTAATAATATTAATTAGACGTAATTTTTCGATATAATTTGTTAACTTAATTCATCGTAATGAATAAATTAATTATATATCTCAACAAATACTAAGGTGCACTGTCAATCTAATTGTTATTAATGATTTTGTTAGACCATCTCCAATAGAAATTCAAATCCTTATCCAAATTTAAATAAAAAAAAAGGTAAAAAGTTTGATTTTGTATAGACATCTCTAATTGAGAAACTCAAATTTAAAGAAAGAGAAACTCAAATTTAAATGAGTACAAACTCAAATTTAAAAGAGGGTAAAATATGACCATTAGATTTTTAAGTGAGAGTAAAATCTCATCATTAAATATTTAGATATAGATTTGAGTCTCTCTTAATTTGAGTAAAAAAATAAGTTTCCATAATTTGTTATGAGTTTAAGTTTAGCATTAGAGAAAATTTTTAAAATTTTTTTACCCAAATTTAAATTTGGATTTAAAAAGGGTTAAAGATCGGAGATGCTACAACTAAAATTGTTGTTTCTACTTTTACACTTGGATAAATTATACTTTGACCCCCTAAAATATGGACTCAATTTCACTTTGTTCCAAAAATATTGAATTTTCACATTGCTCCCTCAACTACTTTGATTATTCACATTGCCTAAATCTCAGACGTCATTATTATTTTGAATAGAAATTGATGACGTGTCAGGCCAAAGTGAAAAAAAATTGCATAGTTTAAGGCAATCGGGACTTGTCTGGAAGGATTTTTGGTGAGGGTTTGGATTGATTTCTCTAAATTTTTCTAAACTCAAACTCATTTTTACAAAAATGGGATTTAATATTAAATCCAGTCTATACTCATGTTTGGTATGCAACACATACACATGTAGGTCTTATGGATTATTAATAATTATTTATCATCTAAATGACTATTTTACCCCTTAATCAATTTAATTCGTACCCATGTTAAGGGTATAATTGTATTTTGTATTCTTAACTCCTTAACCTATCTTCCCAAACTCACCCTCTCTCTAGGTTTGACGAAACCCATAATCATGAGTTTAATATATGGGCCAATTACGGATCGAGTTTAGAAACCTATGATTGAATTTGTAATCCAACTCATCTTACGAAGCTCCCATACCCCCTTACCAAACAGAACCCCAGTAACTCGTCATCTCGTTCACACAAGGAAATCTTCCAGCTCATTCTATAATCTGTTCTTCACTCAATCAGTAATCCCATGAATTATGAGATCCTAGCTTTTGCCTGTGTAATCCCATGAATAATGGGATCCTTGATCAACCTTCCTGTATATAAGTCAACTAGCTTTGAACGTGTGAATTTATTCATTTCTATGCACAAAATTATTTTGCACGTAGATTTTTTTTTGGGTAGTTAGTTTTCATGACTTAAATGTAGGGGTAAAATTATAATTTTTGGAGGATTGGGCAGCATAGAACATGTTGGGATAAAAAGATGGCTCTGTTTGGAGATGTGGGTTGCGTTCGGACATGTGTTTGTAATTTTTGGCAAAAACTTTGCTTTGTTAGGTTAGGACACGTGTGCACGTAACGGATGTGCTTCACTGTACGTTGTTTCATCTAATTTTTTTTATATATAAAAATCGAGGAATTAGTTTTAGGATTTTTTTTTTTTTTTGGCACATTGCAATCATAGGAAGCCTAGGAGAGACTCAAAGAGAAGATAGGTGAGGAAGAAGACAAGACCGGGTCAAGGATTGTGAGGGTTAGTACGTAGAAAACAAAGGAAAAAACACATTAGGACCCATTCTTGTGGAATTAAGGTAGGTTTTCTTTCCCTTTTCAAATTATTGAGGCTAGATCTATAAGTATTCAATTTTGTTAGCATGTGAATGTTTGATTTACGATCTCATGCATGTTTTTCTCTATAATCTTGCTTGATTCATGGCAATCGAAACTATTGTTTGTTGCATTACTTGATTGGATTTTAAAGGCATGGTCTAATCTCTTGATTTATTGATTTGTGATGAATTTGAATGCACTCGACACATTGTAGAGTGATAAAGATATAGGGTTATTGACCTAGTTGTACTTACTCCTTGTTTAACATTTTTTATCAAATTATTTTGATTGTGAATCAAGCGAAAAAATAAATATATCAGTTTTTGGGCATTAGAGACGATGTTATATCAATAGAGTTATCGATGTGTCTTAATATTAGGGTTTTGAGAAAAAAGAATAATGTTATTTTTATATATTATATTAAACATAACATGATCATTCAAAAGTTTTGTAAAGATAGAGAGATTTAGATGATATATCAAAGATTAAATTGTTATTTAAATGCAAAAAGATATAATCATAATTTACATATTTAAATATTAAAAGATATGTTAGCCTTCATAATTTTTTATAAGGATAAAATAGCAAATCAAAATTTTTTTATGCTAAAGTACTTTTATTAGTAGTATAGATATAAATAAGAAGATACGAGCAAGACAACTCTGCTCCATAAAGAAAAGAAGCCAGAAGGTTCATTGTGCATTTTTCGAATTTGTTAGCAAATCAAAATAAGATCCAATCTAGTCTAATAACTTAATTGAAATCCAATTTTGACAAATTAAGGCTGAACTAGGATTCAATTTGTAACGCCCCAAAATTCGGGTGTTCGTAATTACACAGTTGATCACTCATCAACCCGCAGAATATCCATGAATATCGTATAATTTGCTACCACGCCGTTATGTCCCATTTATTGAGATCCATAACTTAACAAAATTTAGACAGAGTTTCCTTTGTATGGAAAACTCTACCCAAAATACAACCTGTGCAATGATACAACATTGACCACACCGAGCTCATTTATTCATACTCAATTGCATAGTATCGGATATTACCATAATCATTATAACTACTTATATTCATTCATAAAAGAATAAGTGTTTCAAAAGAGTTTTATTTACATGCCTTTTTAATATAAAATAAGTTTTTGTTTACAAAAATTATATAAGGCTAAAAGTAAACATATACAAGGGATTGCAAAGTCAAAATAAGAGCCATAAATCGGCTCTGTCATCAAAGCGGGCCCATGGCCTCTCCTTCGGTGGACGTCTGTACAATACCTGAAAGATGTTCTCATAAAGGGTGAGCCAACTCTTAATAAGATAACTCCTATAGAAAATACCTTTCAACCCAAATGCATATGAAATGTCAATTGCAACAATCATTTCATGTATTCATTCAAATATGACTATTTTGAACAAATATCATAAATTATGTCATGCCATGAGATGACACTCATGCAAATAATACCAACATTGAGCCCCATCCTGAGCTCCCACAATACATGCAATGTCATGTGTATGTATTCGGACATTTTAATTCCCCGTCATTAGTGTTATGTACATTCAATGACTAATTAATTCATTTCCTTGTGTCTTTGTGGACAGACAATTTATTGTATTACACTAATGGGATACCACATCATCAACGGATTTTTAAGACATCTCGTCTGCGGCTCTGTTTTTGCCGTTATACTTTTCTGGAATTGCACTGCTAGAAATTGTGTAAACCAAGTAAGCGGACCTTGCACTCGAGGGAAAATCTTTCCCTTCTTATTATACCCCGACACATTTATTTATTTAATTTCCCGTGCGACTTAGCTGAACATTGGTTCGACTTTCCCAAGTCCACGATCAATCACCTATATGGTGATTGATTTCATACCATACACACACTCCCACCCATGTCAATGTCTATGAATGTAGTGCAGTCCGTGCATAATGCAATATAATGTGCAGTTGTCTTTGATATCATTTACAATGTCCGTTATATAATGACCGTAATGTAATGATATTTTCAAGAATTGACCCTTCAGGTTGCGGTTTTAATGTGATTGCTTTTACATGAGTGTGTATCACTATAAAAAAAAATATTTTTAGTGACGACTATAAAATTCATCGCAAAAAATAAGTTGTATTTTTAGCGATTTTTTTTATTTTTATTTTTGTATTCCTTACAAAATCACTTTGCTTTTTTCTATTACTTTTGGCGATGATTTTTTTTGACATTGCTGACTACATTCCTGAACGAGGCTAAACAACAACAACAATTTTAATGTTTGTCGCTAATACCTTTGACAACGAAAAAAATATTGTCAATGAGGAAAATTAAATTTTTTTAGTGTCTTTATATGATTTTCTTCATGATTATGTGCAAAAATTTTGTCATTTCAGGCTTGAGCAACTAAATCCAAGGTGTGGGGGTAACATACTTACTAATACCAAGGCCATCAGATAATTGTTTGGCAAGAATCATGAAGATCTCGAAATCAACTGTATAAAATACACAATGTATTATTTTTTTGAAAAAAAAAAGGGAAGTAAACAATTAATGTATTGCAACTTATCAATGATTCCCCCTACCCCATTCTCAGCATAATTTCAAATTTATGTGTATCCTTTTCATGTGATTAAGGGATTTATTATTTGTAATGATAATGTTTGTGATGGTTATATAAGTTATTTTTTGGTTGTTGGATTTGTTCTTTCACTTAATTTCTTGACGGAATGATTTCGTTATAATGAGTCATTTTTTTTGGGGGGATTAGATACCATTATATAGGAGAGTAGGATGAAGATATTTGATCCCACAACTTTAAAATTTAACAGCGAGGCGATGATTATTAAACTAATTGCTAACATAGTAGAAACCTTTTTTTTTTTTAATCTTTTAAGGAAAAAATCTATATATCCTCCTCTGTTTTAGATAAGAGGGATGAAAAAATAATTTTTTTTGTATTTCGTGTAAATAAAAAAGTGGAAGAAAGAAAAAAATATAGATACACATATTTTACTATTGTCTTTGTATATGAAATTAATGTGTAATCATATCTTATATATCATTCAAACTTTTCATTCTTTCAATTTTTTATCCTTCAACTTTTCTGTCATACCAAACAAAACATAATCTTAAAGGGAAGTGTTATATCACAAACCCTAAATGACCCACGTTTGGAATTCAACCAGTGGCAGATTTACACTGGGGCAGTGGGGACAATGGTCAACAATGTAATTTTATTTATTTTTTGATAGGTTTGAAATGTTTATAAATTTATAATTTTTTTAAAATTTGTCCACACTAAGTCTGATTATTATCACTCAAAATTTATTTTAGCAATCGCAATGAGTTTGTTGGTTGTCATTTATTTGACAGTTCTCTTTAATTTTTTTTTTCTCAATCAATGCTCTCTCAGTAATTGGATTCTTAATTTTTACTTTCTTGAACATTAGACTTTGATGTTTGTAATTTAACTGGGATAAATTATATTTCAGAATAAATTATCCCGATTGATTTATTTTCATTATGGTTTTAACTTATTCACTACAAAAATATTTTGGCTTTGTCCCTGGGTGCTATAATTAGTGATCCAAATGGTCCCTGGGTGCTATAACCCCAAATAGAGTGGATTCACAATCTAAATTACCTGAATTTTGGTCAATAAATAGTGATCCAAACTTGAATTTTTTTTTTCTTGTTTTGGAACTCATAACACAAATATAAGACTAGCATTAACTCCATTGTTTTTTTTTGGAAGAGGGAGGTGGAGAGAAACTTAAACTCTTGATCTCTAAAAGACAAAGCCTTCAGAGTACCATTAGACCAAAGATAGATTGGTAGCATTAACTCTATATGCAGCCTTAGTTGAACCAATATGGGAGGGGGGAAAAATGGTTTGGAAAAGGGCCACTTTTTGACTTCACATGAGCAATATAGCTCAAAATTTAACAATTCAAGTGCATAAAATTCCCCTCCCTCCCCCAAAAAAAAAGGGTGCAAATTGGATCGTGCCCAACACGGTTGTTAGAACTTGGAGTTTATCTAGAATGATCTAGAGGGTGTAAATAGGTCTTAAGCACTGATAACATAAATTTATGCCCAATTAAAACCTAATTAAATCAAATACCAATTTCAAAAATCAAACACAAACATACACAATCCGTCAACCTCAACCCTCCAAAGCACTTCCATCAATTTGTCAATTAAGATGATGAATGTATAAAATTATTCATTCGATCAAATTATCAACTACATAGTGTGTGCAAAAATCGTAACTATGTATGGAGTAGAGAAAAATCAAGCACAACACAAGACAAGTAATTTTTACGTGAAAACCCTTCATGTAAAAACCATGAGACCATAGACCTCCTCACCTAAATGCAAGATTACACGTTTAAAGTCTTAATACTCAACCAATTCCAAGGTATTCATACTTTTAAGTGTTGTTATCCGGCAACTTGTTAGTATCTCTCATGTTTGGTTCTTCTTTAGAATAAAAAATTGAGGAATTGGCTGGAGAAATTTGTCTAGGAGTTGGCTCGTGCAACTACGGAAAATACTTTTTGGATCCAATTTGTGGACTTAATCAATTACAACCGTTGGATTGAAAGTGAAATACATCTAACATTGAAATTCACAACTAATATCCAATAATTACATAAAATTTGGCTCATTTACTAAGTTTTCAAATTATGACCCGATAGCATCACTCTACTCGGCGTTTTCTTTCAAAGAATTCTCAACATGTCTCCTCAACTACAAGCAGATTAATACAACGGTAATGTCACATTACTATTGACACATTTTTAAATAATTGCTATAATAAAAATCCTAAACCACGAAAGGGAATATAATATTTTTTGAAAGTCATCCGGTTTGTATTGTTTATAGAATTAAAAATGTACAAGTGAGAGAGATGCCCAAAAAAACCCAAAAATAGAAGAAGGAAGAATTAACCCAAAAAAAAAAAATAAGAAGGGAGAATTACACTCAAATCTACTTGTAGCTTAATGTCAACAGTAATGCCATTAAGTTTTATTCTTGTTTGATTTTTTAGTTTTATTTCAATAGATAATATAATTGTATACTAATTATAATTGTTTAAGAAAAAATTAGATTTTTTTTTGATTTTATTCTAATAAATGACATAATAAAACATGAATTTTGGTTATTAAATTTATGTTCTATTATGAATGACTTAGACCATTTGTTTTATTTTTTTAATTTTATTCCAATAGATAGTATAATTATATACTAATTACAATTTTTTAAGGAACAATTAGATTTTTATTTTTGATATCATTTCAATAAATGATACAATAGAATATGAATTTTAATTTTAAAATTTGAAATATTTGATATTTGAGATTTTTGATTGAAATATTTTTTGTCTAAGTATGACATTTTAAACTTGAGAATTTAAGTATTATACACCTACAAAACTTCAGCGGGTCTGAGTGTAATTTACTAATGAATATACTAACGGACATTGACGACAGGAGTTCAAGTGTTACGTACGTACAAACCTCAATTGATCTATGTATGATATTTTAAATATTAAGAGATCTGAGTGATTAAGTGACAAATTTCAGAAAATCGGAATGTAATTCTCCACAAAAAAAAAGAAAAAAAAGCAAAAACCAACAGCCGGCATCACACAGACAACATAAACTCTTAAATTAAAGGACATCATAGTAAATTAGAATCAAATTGACATGACTTCAACGATCATTCAAGTGTATTAGTACTTGGAGCCTGCACTTCACAAAAATAATGTCCAAATGGAGGATTAGATGGAAAAATAAATCTTTTCTCCTGTTAGCCGGCCTTCCATTGGATTGGTTTGGACGATATTGGATTTCAAATTCCAATCCAATTCAATCCCAATTATCTGGCCAAACAAACCCCTTTGAGAAGATAGGACAATTGGGTATATATATAAGCAAGAGCCCACCGGTCTAATACAAAAAATCTTCTTACAGAGCCGTCCACCGGTCTAATAGAAAGAACTGAGCGTTAGGTAATAAACCACCACCAATACTAACACATAATAAATATAACAGTGATACTATCATCCAATTATAAATTGCTAATAAGGCTAGTTAATATTTTAACTAGAATTTTGAGATAAGCTTCGTTGCGAATCAAGTTTACGTTCCTATTAGGACCTTATTCTATAATTAGTCAAGGAGGATTGCCACGTGACATTCATTTAATAAAAAAAAGGATATATTGTCAATCGAAGTGGCTTGTTCAAATTCGAGGACAATTATAACTTTTGTGATGGAGGGAATGTAACGATTATCCTGAAATTTGACAAGGTAGCAGTTATCAATACTTAATGGGCTCCAGAAAACTTAAATGCAGCAGTTAAAACAAGAGAGAGACTGGAGAAAAACTGCCTTAAGAAGCCAGTAGAACTGCTGATGGAGAAATGCCTATAAAAGAGGCATTGATTACAAAGGAGATGACATAATAAAACTCATCAAAGACCCATGACTTATAAATGTTTAAGAGTAATTTTAAATTAGTTTTAGGATAGAATTAGTTCCAGAGACTATTGTACTAGTGAGAGAGATGACCCAAAAAAAAAACAAAAAAAAGAACCAGCAACAGGCATCACATAGACAACATATGGGGCTCTAAGATTCGTACATTGCCGCCCACTTTTGGGTTTTGCTTGTTCACAGTGCCATATGGCTAACACACTCAAAATGCAAGTTGATCTCGTAATATATATAATTAAAGTTTTAGCATCTAGAGTTTGTAGCAACTCGGGGTCCACTCAATACAAAGAACTGAGCGTTGGTGTTCAAAACCACCATAAAAAATAGTAAATAATTAAATATAACATTGAAGTCTATTTGACACTTTTTGGTATTAAAAAAAAAAACATTTTCCATGGGTGCACCCCTTGAAAATAATAATACTTAGTGTTGTTGTACAGTTCTTGCAAGACAAATTTTACACTGCATCAATGTTTACTATTATTGTATGAAAACTTTTTTAAAATATGTGTAAAAAGATTCATGTTATTAGTTTGGATGACCATACTCTTTTAAACAAGGAGAAGTCTAAAATGTCATTATAAGTTCTTTTCAATCATGGCTAGAGATGAAAGTGACCAGAAGTTAGAAAAACTAGCGAGTGCTTTGAGGAATGGAATTGCACGACTTTTCGATATGTACGCGAAGAATCGAACAGCGAATGAATGTTACTCACTGATGTGTGAGTCTATCAAAAAGGCAAGAAAGGCACTGAGCAATAGAAGTGCTGTTCATTTTATAAATGTAGCAGTTTGTGTAGGTACCCATTCAATCAGATAAATTTTGGGTGGGGAAAGCCAATATGAGTGGGTACTTCTTGCAGTTTGATCAAGGATACATTTCATTTGATAGATGCTCTGGAAGAGGGTGGCATAGAAGCTTCGGTGAGTCTAGAAGAGAAAGAAAAGGCCATTTTCGAATGTGACGAAAAGCTTCTTGCGTTTGTTTCTTTGAATCCTAGGGCTTTAGAGATTGAATGTGTACCTGTTTATGTTTGATTAGAGTTAGTTTAGGTCTTGGGGGGTCCGGCATTTGTTCACCAAAACGATGTTGCTTAAATCAACAATACATTCATGGATGATTTTCTACGTACAGAGTGGTCTCGAACCAGTGAAAAAACAGAATAAGGTGTGAAGGGACTTGGCCCAAAATGCCATTCCAAACTAATGTGGAAGTGATAATTTGATGTTTTGTTTGATAAAAGTAATGTAACAAAGTTATAAATTTAGATGAATACTATTCTCTTTTTTCATATTTCCAAGGCAAATTGACATATCATAGATTAAAAATTCAATATCATTGGAATATTTCTGAAATTAATACAAAATCACCATAAGACTGGAAATTAATTGGATAACAAATGAATTTACGCCTCTGGTTCAATAGTTTATCGTTGTTATTTTTTGAGTTTAAAATTTGAAAAAGTTACCATTAAGCACTTCACCACCCTTCAAAACATACAAATGCCATTTTATATCCGGTTTCCCGAGCATCTGGAGGATCATTGAACAGGAATGTCATACAATGACAAAAAATAATATTTAATTAAGACAGATAGAAAAACAAAACACTGGTATCACTGGCCACTTCAAAAGATACACACAAATTTGTATAAAAAATGTTACATAATCCAAATTGAACTAAAAACTTAAAACTTAAATGCATATCATCCCTTGGATAAATGTGGGATGAGTGGGTCCTACTGAAAAATTGATAAGACTCATTCATCCAAGAGATGATATGTATTTGTATTACAACTTTTTAGGTTTCATTTAAGTTTTGTAGCATTGCTCAATTTGTATATGGTAATGCAGGAGATACATCAAACCACTTTATAATATATCAATGCACGAGGTACAAATTTGTTTATCGCTGCGTCAACGGGAACATGAAGAAATTACTGTCTCCAAGTGTAAAAAACCAAAAAACACTCTGAATCTACAAAGAAAAGAAAGAGAATNTTCTTTGAATCCTAGGGCTTTAGAGATTGAATGTGTACCTGTTTATGTTTGATTAGAGTTAGTTTAGGTCTTGGGGGGTCCGGCATTTGTTCACCAAAACGATGTTGCTTAAATCAACAATACATTCATGGATGATTTTCTACGTACAGAGTGGTCTCGAACCAGTGAAAAAACAGAATAAGGTGTGAAGGGACTTGGCCCAAAATGCCATTCCAAACTAATGTGGAAGTGATAATTTGATGTTTTGTTTGATAAAAGTAATGTAACAAAGTTATAAATTTAGATGAATACTATTCTCTTTTTTCATATTTCCAAGGCAAATTGACATATCATAGATTAAAAATTCAATATCATTGGAATATTTCTGAAATTAATACAAAATCACCATAAGACTGGAAATTAATTGGATAACAAATGAATTTACGCCTCTGGTTCAATAGTTTATCGTTGTTATTTTTTGAGTTTAAAATTTGAAAAAGTTACCATTAAGCACTTCACCACCCTTCAAAACATACAAATGCCATTTTATATCCGGTTTCCCGAGCATCTGGAGGATCATTGAACAGGAATGTCATACAATGACAAAAAATAATATTTAATTAAGACAGATAGAAAAACAAAACACTGGTATCACTGGCCACTTCAAAAGATACACACAAATTTGTATAAAAAATGTTACATAATCCAAATTGAACTAAAAACTTAAAACTTAAATGCATATCATCCCTTGGATAAATGTGGGATGAGTGGGTCCTACTGAAAAATTGATAAGACTCATTCATCCAAGAGATGATATGTATTTGTATTACAACTTTTTAGGTTTCATTTAAGTTTTGTAGCATTGCTCAATTTGTATATGGTAATGCAGGAGATACATCAAACCACTTTATAATATATCAATGCACGAGGTACAAATTTGTTTATCGCTGCGTCAACGGGAACATGAAGAAATTACTGTCTCCAAGTGTAAAAAACCAAAAAACACTCTGAATCTACAAAGAAAAGAAAGAGAATAACCCTTGAAATATTCTATTATTGATTGATTAACAACATAAAATTATACTATATAAGAAAATTTATTGAAAAACTCAAAACCTTAAGGCTTTCAAAATGAAAACAAATCTCTAGTATTGGGAAAATTACTAAAAACAAATAAACACATGTCTAATCATTTAGAAAAATTGACATGGTTTAGGCATCAAATCACTTTAGCATATTCCTAATTAAACTCTCGTTCTAAATAAATAAAAAATAATAAAAACAAAATAAAATAAAAATATAAAACCATTCTACATTAGACCCTCCTCCCTCTTAAAAAAACTCATGCCCAAGTTTCTATGGCTTGAAACAACTTGATGCGTTGGCGTTTAATTGCATTAACTTTGTAATTCAAATTAAAATTTTTAACTAGACACTATGAATCTGCTATACTTTCAAAAACTGATAAAATAATCTCCCATTCAACAACCTTAGACAACCGTAACACGGTTTTAGGAATTTCTTGACAAATATCTGGCAACTCAAAATTATCAGGGTCCAATAAAAATTAAAAATTAGCAAAACCAAAAAGAAGTGGACCAATGGATTTTTCATGTGCAAAATTCTCATCCTGCTCAACTCCACGAAATTCATCTTGAATTTCAAGTTTATTGTCCTCGGGAACTGTGTTCACAAATAAAAATTTTTATTACTAGGGCCAACAATATGAAATTTCTTGTCTTTTGGTTCTGTAGCCTTTGCATCTGTCACGTCCTGATTTTTTCCAAGAAATAATTGGGCGAATATAAGGAATAAAACTGCACATAACTCATAATAACCTTCCATATATTATTATTTATACATTCTGCATACGGTTGCATCTCTGAAAAAAATTGATCCCCACTCAATCAGATAAAATGTTCTAATGCGACATAAAGAGAAATAGTAATAACATGTTATATCTGTCATATCTCCGCCTTATTTCCCTGACTTATTTTATGTTTCTGAAAAAAATATTAAATATAGATGAACTCACTATCCCAATAAAATAATATTTATCAATAACTATCAAAGTTTTAAACAAATAAATGCAAGAATAGGTCAAATTAAAGAATTAAAAGAATACAACACATATCGATTATATCAATTTGTCAATTTTATGATCCACGCATGAACTATCTCTAGAGAAAACTTTGGAGTCTTGTACCATAGGGAACCCGATGTCCTTTTTGCTTTTCTAGGAACACCAATACCGAAAATTCTGTGGTGCCATACAAGCTAACAACGACAACTAATACCACTAACCAGTGAACCCAATGACTAGGAATCTTGTGAATCCTTGCGAGGAACACACATCTACTAATCCCCTGTCATCGATAATGTGCATCTATAATAATTTCATCAAAAAATAATTCTACAAAATAATTAGGGTTTTAATATAAAAAATATAACAGGTGCATGATCACAATTAATTGATAAAATCCGAATTCAACCCCATGATTAATGAGATATAATATTACATTATATAATTAAAATTGATTTGATATGAAACCCCTCAAATATGCATGAAATGCATTAATAACAGTAAAAGATAGAGGAAATCCTACCTCTGACGTAACCTTGACTCGATATCGGGTACTGTGGCAAAACATATGAAGTAATATTTTGGAATAAAAATAGGTAATATTGACATAGTTAAACTAAAAATAACTTTTAGAGTAACTAAAGGAAAATTACGTTACTTGAGTTTGATCAAAAAATATTTAAAGAGCATCAAATTCAGGTGATTTGAATCTATAAAATTACTAAATCACAACTCAAAAATCTTACCCAAATTTTGACCGTAAGATCAAACTCTTAAGTGGAGAAAATTTTAACCCTTCTCTTTTTTTCGCCCTTTTTTCCATCCTTTCCATCTCTTTCTTTCTTTCTCGCCTCTTCTGTGTTGTCCAAATGGCCATTGGCCAAGCTATTTATAGCCTATTTGACCCCTACTCACGTCATTGACGAAGCAAAATGTTAGCATCAGCATGGACAAATGTCCATGCTATGTCAAAGTAAATTTTTTTTTTAAAATTTATTCCTTTCAATCTTATAATTATGTCAAAGTAAATTTTTTTTTTTAAATTTACTGTTGTCAATCTTATAATTAGGCCACACAATTCTAGACATGACTTGTAAAATCGACATGAATCCGACACGAATTTAGTAGATTTGAGTATAATCTTAACGAGTTTGGGTGGTTAACGAGTTAACTCAGTAGACCTGTGAAATAAATGAACCAGATTTGTGTTTTACCTATAAACTCGTTTTAACCTGTTAACAGTGGTACTGTAAATTTTTTTAAAAAAATTAGGTGTCTCAGCCTCTACCTCAGCTCACACCTCCCATCTCTTAGACTCATTCAAATTTAATAATCATTTAATGTTTATTTTTTGTCTTTATTTTTTTGCTCAGCTAGGATTTATTGTTATAATAAATAGGTTAAACATGTGTATTGGGCAGCGAATTGATGATTTTTCGTGTGAACTCGAAATAGTTTAACCTATTCTCTTATTTAGCGGATGACACACGGGTTGTATCAGGTAACCCATATAATAAACAATTCGTGTATGAGTGTGATAGTTGAACTCGTTTATATAAACGAATAAGATATGGATAAAAGATTTTTTTGACATAAATCCATTCCACTGGACACGATTATCAAGCCTACTTATAATACTCCCACCCCCATTTGACACGTGCTCCATTATACATACCTAAATATAATAGAGGCATCTAATCGAACATATCATTTCGGCACCATAGAGTTTTCCTGATAAGTAAACAATACTTTTTAACCATAATAAATATTTTAATTATACTAAATATTTTAAAAACAATAAATATTTTAACCAAGAACGGTACCCGTGATATGTCGAAATCAACGGAATAAAATATATTATGTACTACTTTTCGGCCAAAAAACGGGTAGCATACAATTAATGTATGGCAACTTATCGATGCTTTCCCTACCCCATTCTCAGCATACTTTCAAATTTATGTGCCAGAAATTTTGGCCAGTGGGACGACCTAAATCATATGAATATTAAAATTATTAGGGAAACTTTCAGTTTTATTCCTCCTACTTTATTATATCTTCAAAGATATCCCCTTTGTTATAAAAAATATCACTGATATATTTTCTAATTTAATTTAAACATCACTAAGACCCCTTACCATTAAACTACCATTTCTAACAATTTTTTTTTTATCTAAAATACCAAAAGCGTCCCTACATAAACCTCAAGTAATTTGATTTGAGTCGATTGAAAATAATTTTTAATTGGCTAAAATAATATTTTAATTAGCCCAAATTTTTAAAAAAATGTAATTTTTAATTGGCTCAATTTAATATATAAATAAATAAATTTTAATTAACTTGAATCAAATTTTAATCGGCTCAAATTTTAATACGTAAAAAAAATTAGAAAACAAAGGGGGTCTCATTGAATATATGCTTATCTAGATGGAGTGTGGATGAAGTTTGTCCTCAAATATATCATAGGCAATTTAGTATAACTGCATTCTAGTTAATATTTTTAATATGACAGGAGGTGTCACTGAAGATTTAGAAAATAGAGAAGGTGTAGTTGAAATTTTTTCAAATTACTAATGTTCACAAAAATATAATTTCATTAATAGAACGTCAATTAAAATAACAACTCATATACATGAGTGCAATACAAAAAGAGCCAATAAAAAAAAGTTCACTATAAATTTATCTAAACAAGAGGAAATCTAAAAAAAAGTTCACTATAAAGTTCACTATTAATACTTAAATGGGCTCTAGAAATCTGCAAAATCAGCAGTTTAAACAAGAGGAAAACTAAAGAAAAACTGCCTACAAAAGTTGGTATAACCGCCAATGAAGAAATGTCTATAAAAGAGGCATTGATTGCAAATGAGATGACACAATCAAACTCATCAAAGATCCATGGCTTGCGCATTTCTAAGAGTAGTTTTTAATTAGTTTTATAATAGGGTTAGTTCCAGAGATTGTTTTATCAATCTGTTGTAACCCTGAAACCTTCCACAAGTGTTGTTAAGGCAAACTTTTTATTGAAAATAATTTGGATCCGGCAACTTGTTTGTACCTCTCATGTTTGGTTCTTTAGATTCAAAAATTGAGGAATTGGATGGTGAAATTCGTCTAGGAGTTGGCTCGTACAACTACAGAAAACATTTTTTGGATCGAATTTGAGGACTAAATCAATTACAACTGTTGGATTGAAAGTGAAATACATCAACCATTGAAATTCACAACTAATATCCAGTGATTACATAAAATTTGGGTCATTTATTAAGTCTTCAAAATATGACCTTATAGCATTACTCTACTCGGCGTTTTCCTTCAAAGCATTCTCAGCATATCACCTCAGCTACAAGCAGATTAATACAGTCGGTTTGTATTGTTTATGGAATCAAAGACGTACTAGTGAGAGAGATGACCCCCCAAAAAAAAAACAAGAACCGACAACAGACATCACATAGACAACATATGGTACTCGAAGATTTGTACATAGCCGCCCACTTTTGGCCTTTGCTTGTTCGCGGTGCCATATGGCTAACACACTCAAAATGCAGGTTGATCTCGTAATATATATAATGAAACTTTTAGCATCTAGAGTTTGTAGCAACTCGCGGTCCACTCAATACAAAGAACCGAGCGTTAGTGTTCGAAACTACCATAAAAAAAATAATAAATAATTGAATATAACATTGAAGTCTATTTGACACTTTTTGATATTTAAAAAAAAAACATTTTCAATGGGTGCACCCCTTTTAGAAGGTTGCTACTGAGCCTATAAATATATAATGTTTTGGACGACATAAAATATATTGAAATATTCTATAACATTTTTACTCACAATAGCTTTCTCATTTTCTTTCCGTGCTATGTTTCTTTCATAATGAGGCGCGAATCTTCTTAAGAGAGCGATGTAATTCGTGTTTCACCATATTGTTCACTTTATCTTTTGGATTCTATTTTTCCAACACAATTTTCAAAAAGTGTTTCGGCACAAAATTAAAAATAATAACACTTAATGTTGTTGTACAGTTCTTGCAAGACAAAAATTTTACACTGCATCAATGTTTGCTATTATTGCATGAAAACTTTTTTAAAATATGTGTAAATTTGTCATAAAAAGATTCCTTTTGGACGACCATTCTCTTTTAAACAAGGAGAAGTCTACGATGTCATTATAAGTTTTGTGGTTTATTTTTATAATTTTGAATGGTTATTTATAATTTTTGAGGATTATTTATAAGTTTTGATAATCATTTACAATATTTGAGGGTCATTTATAAACTTTTGAGGTTTGTTGTGACAGATTCTAAAAATTTTTAAGATAGATTCCAAATGATCCATAAAAGTTATAACTTAAACTTTTATTGTAAACAAGCCTAAAAATTTATAAAATTTAGTAGTACAATACCATAATATTTTGTTCGGGACGATAGTGGACTTATTTAAACAATTGTCTTTTATGCCTTGCCACAACACACACACACACACACACACACACACATATATATTACAGTAATGCTATACTGACCAAATTTATATATTTATATAAATTTATATATGGACATGTGCCATCTTACAACTACAAATAATATAGCGATACTCTTCACACTTATATCCAAACAATATCTAACATTTCTCGTATGGAAACCATGAAGCATCACATATTCTCCAAAACAACCATCAACCCCTCTTCACCTACCCCAAATCACCTAAATTCTTACAATCTTTCTTCTTTGGATCAGCTATCCCCTCACATTTATACTCCCTTAGTACTCTTCTACCCTAGAACAGGAAGCCATAGCCAATCCAATGTCCCTGATGACATTTCTTCTAGGCTCAAGAACTCCCTCTCCAAAACCCTTACTCAATACTATCCATTTGCCGAAAGTCTCTCAGAAACAAGCTCCATGATCAATTGTAACGACGAGGGAGTCAATTTTTTCGAAGCCCGAATGGATTGCAAGCTATCTGACATTCTGAAACAATCCGAGCCTAAGACACTTGATCTATTATGCCCAAGTGGCATACTGTGGAATGACTCCTATGAGGGTAGTCTAGTGGTCATTCAGGTTACAGTTTTCAGCTGTGGAGGCATTGTAGTTGGTGTTTGTATGTTGCACAGAATTGGTGATGGGTGTACAAAAAACGCCTTCATTAAGGACTGCGCAGCCATAGCAGTTCAGTCCCAAGATCATCAAGTGTCTCATGTGTTCATCTCATCTTCGATTTTACAACTTAATGATCCACCAGTACTCTCAGATAAGCTTGAGCAAGGGAATTGTATCACGAGACGATTGGTGTTCAGTGCTTTGAAGCTAGCCAATCTCAAGACGATGGTGAAAAACTTAGAATTAAATAATGCCAGTCAGGTTGAAGGTGTCAGTGCACTAATTTACAACTGCGCTATGGCGGCGTCAAGGGCAATATCAAGTGCATCTAGCCCATTTATCTTGATCCTGCCAGTGAATTTACGCCCGAGAATTGTCCCACCATTGCCTGAAAATTCTGTTGAAAANAAATTTATATATTTATATAAATTTATATATGGACATGTGCCATCTTACAACTACAAATAATATAGCGATACTCTTCACACTTATATCCAAACAATATCTAACATTTCTCGTATGGAAACCATGAAGCATCACATATTCTCCAAAACAACCATCAACCCCTCTTCACCTACCCCAAATCACCTAAATTCTTACAATCTTTCTTCTTTGGATCAGCTATCCCCTCACATTTATACTCCCTTAGTACTCTTCTACCCTAGAACAGGAAGCCATAGCCAATCCAATGTCCCTGATGACATTTCTTCTAGGCTCAAGAACTCCCTCTCCAAAACCCTTACTCAATACTATCCATTTGCCGAAAGTCTCTCAGAAACAAGCTCCATGATCAATTGTAACGACGAGGGAGTCAATTTTTTCGAAGCCCGAATGGATTGCAAGCTATCTGACATTCTGAAACAATCCGAGCCTAAGACACTTGATCTATTATGCCCAAGTGGCATACTGTGGAATGACTCCTATGAGGGTAGTCTAGTGGTCATTCAGGTTACAGTTTTCAGCTGTGGAGGCATTGTAGTTGGTGTTTGTATGTTGCACAGAATTGGTGATGGGTGTACAAAAAACGCCTTCATTAAGGACTGCGCAGCCATAGCAGTTCAGTCCCAAGATCATCAAGTGTCTCATGTGTTCATCTCATCTTCGATTTTACAACTTAATGATCCACCAGTACTCTCAGATAAGCTTGAGCAAGGGAATTGTATCACGAGACGATTGGTGTTCAGTGCTTTGAAGCTAGCCAATCTCAAGACGATGGTGAAAAACTTAGAATTAAATAATGCCAGTCAGGTTGAAGGTGTCAGTGCACTAATTTACAACTGCGCTATGGCGGCGTCAAGGGCAATATCAAGTGCATCTAGCCCATTTATCTTGATCCTGCCAGTGAATTTACGCCCGAGAATTGTCCCACCATTGCCTGAAAATTCTGTTGAAAACTTTTCGTGGTTCTTTTTAATCATGGTTAGAGATGAAAGTGACCAGAAGTTAGAAAAACTAGTGAGCACTTTGAGGAAAGGAATTGCACAACTTTTTGATAAGTACACGAAGAATCGAACAACAAATGAATGTTACTCACTGATATGTGAGTCTATCAAAGAGGCAAGAAAGACACTGAGCAATAGAAGTGGTGTTCATGTTTATAAATGAAGCAGTTTGTGTAGGTACCCATTCAATCAGATAAATTTTGGGTGGGGAAAGCCAATATGGGTGGGTACTTTTAGTTGTTTGATCAAGGATACTTTTCTTTTGATAGATGCTCTGGAAGAGGGTGGTATAAAAACTTTGGTGACTCTAGAAGAGAAAGAAATGGCCATTTTCGAACGCGGCGAAGAGCTTCTTGCGTTTGCTTCTTTGAATCTTAGAGCTTTAGAGAATGAATGTGTACCTATTTATGTGTGATTAGAGTTAGTCTAGGTCTTGGAGGTCCGGCTCCTGTTCATCAAAACGATCTTGCTTTAATCAACAGTACATCTGTTGTTGATTTTCTAACAATAAAACGGTCTTGGAATAGTGAAGAAACATAATAAGGTGCGAAGGGGCTTGGCTCAAAATGCCATTTCAAACTAATGGAAGTGATAATTTGATGTTTTGTTTGACAAAAGTTGTAAACCCCCGCATGTTTATAGTAATATTATAATAAGTTGTGTAGAAATTTTAATATAGGTAATGACGTAGGAATGAATCATATGGATTATAACCGTAGAAATAATTATATTGTGAAAATTCGGATAAATATATTAAATCGTTTGTAATAGAAGTTGTACCAACCATGTTTGATGTGCAAAGGTATGTTGTATAAATTTGAGATGACCTTGGAAGGATTAGAAATGGAAAATAGAGGAAACAGGTAGGTTCAGCGAAATTGTACCGGTATGCCGAAGACCAGTAGTTAGACCGTATCAACAAATTCCAGAAATTTTTAAGTCGCGAACAGTCGGCCCTTCTTTCACTATAAATATATAAAGACATCCCATTTAGTCCCATTTCAACACTTCTAAGCCTAAAAAACCTTAGAGAAGAAGAGAGAGAGGGAAAAACACAAGATCAAAGGGGCTTTGCACTTTGGATTGAATCAAAACCTTAGATTTCTTCAAGAACATCAAGGTAGGGATTTTTTTCATTCTTGTCCATTGAGGCTAGAGTTTATATATATATATATATATATATATATATATATATATATATATGTTTTGCTTCTAAATCTTAGATATATACTATGAAATACTTGTTTCTTGAAGTTCCTACAAGTATCACCATGTTTTGAAGATATTTATGGTTTGATAGCCATGAAAACCTAGTTTTTGAGAAAAATGAATTTTTTCTTCTCAATGTTCAATTGTTCTTGATTTCAAAACTCTAGTGCTTTGTATTAAACAACAAATGGTATTCATGATGATCTCTTGTTTAATTTCTTAAATTGTGCTCTAAATTTAGAAATTTTGGATTTACTTATGATTTGAGAAAATGATTGTTATTACATCCCTTGTATGGTTGTTTTGATGAATTTGAATTACATTTGAGCATTGCCGTAGAGTATTAGAGGTTAGTCTATCCCAATGGGGGTGAGATGGTTGCCTAACATTTGTAGTGATTTATTGTTTGTGAGAGCAACCACTATTGTTCACGTAAGTTCGAGGTTGAGGGTGGGTGTACCTCTCCTGGGAAAGATTCGTCAATGCCGTAGGGGACGGTATAAGCCCTTCCTAAAGTGGTTTGTGTGGTTATGGTTGGGTGAAAGAGGTAGAGTCGTTGTGTAAATTTATGGGAAGCAACCAACATTCATGAAAATATGGGATGAAACTAATGAACGATTAAGGTTATTGTGTAAAATTGGTTTCCTACAAGAGCTTGTGGAGGTATGAGACTCCTCAAGAACTTGTAGGAAATAGTTTATGGTTGGAAATGGTTTATTGTTGAGAAATTCATTTTTTACTGTTCATTTAAATTATTGCTATTGCGTAAACTTGAGATCCGTTGAAATGTCCTGATTTCATTTCAAAAAAATTGATATATGATATTTGCAGAATGAGACCGAACTGTTTTATATGTTTTCTAAATCTTGTTCGAGTTTGGTAGGAAGGTTGCTACAGAGCTTAGTGCTCACCCCCTACAACTATATTATTTTCAGATTGTGGTTTAGAGGAAAAGGTCAGAACTGATGAGCAGGTGGTTTGGGAAGCCCAATTGGAGGAAAGCGTGGATCCCGAGGGGAATGTTTAGAGTTGATCTCTTCATACTTTAAATTAGGGGATATATTTTGGTACATTATTAGATGTATTTTTGTTTATTCCGCTGCTAGAAAATAGTTGATTCTTTTGGAATGTAATGTCTATGGTTGACCTATTCTTTTGGGATGATATTGTAAACGTTATATTTGATGAATGAAATATTCTTTAATGATAAATGTATTTAGTTGCTCTCATGATATGAATGATTTTTAAAATTGTAATGCCGTTCAAGGTAGGTTTTGGCGCGTTACAAAAATAATGTAACAAAGTTATAAATTTATGGTGATTACTATTTTTTTGGGCAATATTTCCAAGGCAAATTGATATATCATAGATTAAAAATTCAATATCATTGGAATATTTCTGAAATTAATACAAAATCACCATAAGAATGGTAACAAATTGGATAACAAATGAATTTACATATTTGGTCCAATAGTTTATCGTTGTTATTTTTTGAGTTTAAAATTTGAAAAAATTACCATTAATCACTTCACCGCCCTTGAAAACATACAATCACCATCTTATATTAGGTTTCTTGAGCATCTGGCAGCTCATTGAACAAGAATGTCACACAGTGAGAAAAAAAAATATTTAATTAAGATAGACAGAAAAAAAAAACACAAAGATATCACTAACCACTTCAAAAGATACATACAAATTTGAATATGGTAATCACTCTAGCATATTCTTAATTAAACTCTCATTCTAAATAAATAAAAAATAATAAAAACAAAACAAAATAAAATATAAAACCGTTCTACATCAGACCCTCCCTCTTAAAAAAACTTGTGCTCGAGTTTCTATGGCTTGAAACAAATCGATGCACCGGCGTTTAACTGCATCTACTTTGTACTTCAAATTAAATTTTCTAATGACACACTTGCATGAATTTACTATGCTTTCAAGAACTGATAAAATAATCTCCCATTCAAAAACCTTAGATAACTGTAACATGGCCTTAAGAATTTCTTGACAAACATCTAGTAACTCAAAATTATCATGGTCCAATAGAAATTAAAAATTAGTAAACCAAAAAGATGTGGACCAATGGATTATTCCTGTGGTAAATTCTCATTTTGCTCAACTTCACGAAATTTATCATGAATTTCAAGTTTATTGTCCTCAGGAACTGTGTTGACAAATAAAAATTTGTCATTTTCATTTTTATCACCAGGGCCAACAATTTCAAATTTCTTGTCTTTTGGTTATGTAGCATTTGCATCTGTCATGCCCTGATTTTTTCCAAGAAATAATCAGGTGTGAATAAGGAATAAAACTACACATAACTCATAATAACATTCTTTATATTATTATTAATACATTATGCGTATGGTTAAATCCCCCCCTCCCAACAAAAAACAATGGTACGATCTTCACTCGATCAGGTAAAACATTCTGACACTGCATAAAGAGAAATAACAGTAACAAACTTTATCTATCATCTCTCCACCTTATTTCCCTGGCTTACTTCATGTTTTTGAAAAAAAGTGGTAAATATGTATAAACTCACTAGCCTAGAAGGATAACATTTATCAATGACTATCAAGGTTTTAAAACAATACATAATATATATGAACAAGAAATAATTTTAGGAATAGGTCAAATTAAAGAATCAAAAGAATGTAAATCATATGCAAGGGTGACTGTTACATTTGATAACTTATTATATTTTGTTTAGAAAAACCTCTTGGAAAGAATCTTATATTCTATCTGAGAAATCTCATAACTTCAAATCTCAAGGGTTCCAGTTACTTAGTCTTTTTCACTACTTACTCCAAAACAATAACAATAGTTCCCTGTGGATTCAACTTCGGACTTAACTGAATTATTACTATAGCTTGGTTGCCTACAATTGGGAGTACATATTTCGGATCAAGTCAACAAACTTGTAATATGTCTTCCAATATCTAGATCACCCTTTCAGATTGATCATTTGTTTGAGGATGGTAGGCAGCACTGAAGTGCAATTTTGTTCCCATTATTTTTTGTAAACTCTACCAAAATTGAGCCAAAAAAGAAGAATCACGACTTGACACAATTGATAATGGTACCTCATGTAATCTTACAATCTCCCATATATAGAGTAGACTTAGTGTGGCTAGAGTATTAGTATTCTTCATGGCAAAGAAATAAGCCGATTTGGTGTGTTGATCCACTATTATCCATACTGCATTGTATCATTTTGAAGTTTTAGGTAATCTGACCACAAAATTCATAGTGATATGATCTCATTTTCACTCTAGGATAGGTAAGGATTGTAACAACCCACCAGGTTTCTGATGTTCTACTTTTACTTGCTGACATACGATACATCGAGTTATAAATTTAGCCATTTCCTTCTTGATTCTTTTTCACTAATATTGATGTTTCTTATCTTGATACATTTTTGTACTACAAGGATGTATGAAAAATTTAGAGTGATGACACTCTCTGAATATCTCTTTTCTTTCAACTGATCATTATCGGGTACATACAACCTTCCTGGATATAATAGTTCCCTCTTTCGTAACCACCAATTCTTAAAAATGTTTCCATGCTCCAGCTGTGTGCAGATGGATTTTAGATGGGAGTCCGAACATTGTAATTTAGCAACTATATGTCGGAGAATAGGTTGAGCAAGAGATTAAACAAACGTAACTGACCTTCTTTCTCACTTATCCAGATGTCATAATTCTCTAGTGCCTCCATCAATTGTCATTTGTCCCTCATCATGTTGATCACTACACTTCAAGATTTTATACTCAATGCATCCACCACCACATTAGCTTTTTCAGGATGATATTGCAGTGTGAAATCGTAATCCTTGAGATACAATATTTAGCGTAATTGTCAGAGATTCAAGTTTTTTTAAATGAATATATACTTGAAACTTTTGTGATTATAATAAATCTAGAATTTTTCCACATATAGATAACAATGTCCTAACTTCATAGCAAAGACAACAGTTGTCAATCCCAAATCATTTGTGGGATAGTTTCATTCATGAACCTTTAGTTGTCTTGATCCATAAGTAATCACCTTATTATTTTGTATTAACACACATCCAAGTACTTGTAATGATGCATCTGTATAAACATCATACCCAACACTACTTTCAGGTATAGTAAGAATAGGTGATGTGATTAGCTTTTCTTTTAAGATGTTAAATGCATGCTTATATTCTTTGAT